ATCACTTTCAGATGCTCCTTGGGTGATTTATACATGTCATTTTTTTGTTTCACATATAGATATTGTCCCAGTCAAATATGTTGCAAGTTTCCCGAGGGTAGCCTTAGATGTTTTTGAAGTCCATGTGGAAGTGTGGTCAGCTGCACAGCTCTGTAAGAAGCTCTTCTTGTGGCAAAGCTGTAGACCCCCATGTACAAACAGGACCACTTCTCAGACAGAAACCAGAGTTTCAGGATTCATCTTGATATAGGACACAGAGAACATTTGGGACTTGGTCATAACCTTCCTATCCATGTGTACTTCACACATACATAAAAGCTTTCATTCACATCTCACAACACTCTTACAAGGATCCTGTTGTCAGACTCGATGTTCTTCCCATTTTACTGAGGAAGAACTAGAGCTCAGAGAGGCTAAGACTTGCCCAGAATTAGCTTATAAGTGGCAGAGCTGGTATCAGAGCCCAAGTTTTCAGGCTCCTTTATACCTCATCTTTTGGAGATTCCAAATATACCTTTCATCATTCTTACTGTTGTAGGTGGTTCATCAGAACCCATCCCCCTGCTGGAGACACTTGGCCTAGGAATACAGTCCTCTAGGAAGGAGATCAAGGAGCTAGAAAACAACACCAGGACCAGGATGGCTTTTGTGCTTCTGTCCTAGGAATTTTCTAGACAGGATGAAGAGGGACCACCAACAGCACAGTTAGAAGCTAGAGTTCCTATAGGGTGGCATTTGAGAGGCATTAGAACAGAATACAAACTCCATTGCCTGTCAAGTCACCAAAGACAGTCATTCCTTCAACTGTGAGGCTTAGAATCTGCCAGGAGCAGCTAAAGCTTTTATTCATTGGCACCCAAGTCCAGTTAAGCCTTAAAGATTTGCCCAGAAGCTAGGCATAGTGGTGTGCACCTGTAATCCCAGAACTTAGGAGACTGAGACAGGAGGATAGAGAGTTTCTAGAAAGAAAGGAAAGAAGGAAGGAAGGAAGGAAGGGTAAAGTTTTCTCTGGAAATTTGGTTCAGGAGGAAAGATTAGGGAAGAAGTATTTGGCTGGCTTCAGGATGGAAAAAGCTAGGCCTGAATCTAGCTTTAGTCTGAATCTCTTTGGCCCCTTCCTCCCGTGTCTAAGGCAGGGATGGAAGAATTTCCCAGGGGAAGCTCTGAGCCACCTGCCACTGCCACTCATAATGCACCTGGTCCTTTGCCATCAGCCATCAAGAGCACAAATGTCTAATGAGCACTCAGCCCTGTCATAAGCACTTTATAGGTTCTCATTCATTTAATCCTCACAACGACCCAAAGATCTTATGAACTACGTAGACCACTAACATTCCCATTTTATAGGCAAGGAGACCAAGGCCTGGGGAGGAGGAAGATTATTGGCGCAGCCAGAATAACAAGCAAGCAGTAGAACTCCAGAAGCCTCCTTAAACGGATCAACATCAGTGCCTTGTACTTGTTACAGACTTTAGAGTTTTATAAAAGATCTTGCATTGGCTGTTCGGACCCTCATATAGGGGGAAATGGAGTATCTTATCAACTGGGGCCCAGAGAGGTGATGTGACTCACCCAAGGTCACACAGCTTGTGAGAGGTCTGGCGCGGCTTTGCTGCCGGCTAGACAAGGTGCAGATTTTCAGGTCCCCGGGCAGCTTGCCCCCACCCCAGCCCTTCCCTAGGAGGCTGCGGGCCCTGCTTCTGGCTGCGCGGGGTCGACCGAGGGGCGGAGCAGTTCGCGGCCTGTGGGCCTGGGCGCTGTCCGCGGTGCTGATCTGTCGCCGCGCCCTCACTTGCCAAGTCCGCCAGCGGGATTCCAGGGTTCCCTTTCCAGCTCCCAGCCAAAGGCAACTCCGAGAGTTCGGCTGCCCGCCGGGGTCCTTAAGTCTGGCTCCCGGGGCTCCCTGGGTTCCCCCCCTCCCCCCGCCCGCGCGCCGCCAGCCTCCCTTCCCCCCCGCCCCGCCCACGGCCCCTCCCCGCCGGTCCCAGGTCCCTCCCTTCCCCCCTTATCTCTCCCGCCCCCCGCCCCCCTCCCGTTCGTTCGCCAGTTCCGGTCACGTTGCTGGGTGTTTACGCCCGGAGCCCGCCCCAGACCCCCCGCTCGGCGCCCCGGAGCCCCCCGTAGCTCCGGCCCCACCGCCCCGCAGCCTCGCAGCCACTGATGGCGTCGCAGCCGGGGCGGGCGCTGCGGAACCCCGGGCGCAGCTAGCGCGGCGGGGGGAAGAGCGCCTCCCCAACACCCATTCCGGCCCCGGGCCCCGCCGGCCGGTCGCTCCCTGAGGTCCCGAAGGTGAGGAGGCCGGTCGGTGGGCTTGGAGGGTGGGCGCTGGCCGGCGGCCCCGGGTGGGGAGCTGCGCGGCCGAGCTCCAGCTCCCCCAGGAGGGCTGGCATGGAGCTGGGCACCGCAGCGCGCGGGAGGCGGACAGGACCGCGGGCTGCGAGCAGAAGTTGTCCTCCGTCGCTCGGACCCGGGTCCTTCCTAGTGCTGGCGGGGAATCCAGAGAGACCGAGGTCCAGCCCTGCCACCTCCCACCACATGCGCCTTTTTTTCTGCCTGTCTTTCCTTCCCTGTCCTCCTTAGTCGCCACATCCCCCCGCCCCTGCCTTCTCTGGGAGTCATATTCGAGGCACAAACAGAGCAGAACATCAAGATTGAAAGGCGGGGGCTGGGGGGCTTCAGTGGAAGGGTTGCCAGAGTTGAAGGGTATGGGGGAGGAGGGGCAGGGAGTGGAAAGGTCCACAAGGTCCCTAGGGACCTTGGCTTTACCGCTGGCTAAGTGGTCCACCTTGCAGACAGAGTCCCAGACATTTGTCAAAGGCCAAATTCTTGTTCCAGACTCAAGTCCCAGGAGAAACAAGGACTTGATGGGGATAGGCAAGGTAATTATTTTTTAATACATGTCCTGGTGATTCCCGTGAAGACTCAATTCTGTTTCACTGTAGTTCGTGTGCTTGTTCCTTGCAAGGGAGTCCCAGAAACAGAGCTCTACCCACAGGAAGCTTATGTGCACAAGGAAGCCAGGTGCACACAACACACACACCATGCAGATTCTAACAAATTTCCTGGGAAACACAGAGGCAGGAGAGAGTCGTTCCAGCTTGGTGGGGAATCAGGAAAGGATTCCTGGGAAAGGAAGCAGTGGAGCAAGGCCTAGAAGGAGGAATCCGTTTCAGGAAGCAAAAATTCAGTAGGATAAAATGAGGGGATATCTATGGCTAGATAGAGTTTGTCATGAGAGCAGCAGTAAGTAAAATCCAAAAAACATCAGCATGCAAGTGTGGACTGTTCGCATTGTGAGAGACCTTAAATTCTGGAGTCAGCTTTAGTGTGTATGTTAAACAAGTTACTTTATTTCTCTGAAACTCTGTTTCTTCAACTATGGAGTGGATGTACTAACAGGACCTTAGGTGTAGCGTTCAGCGTTGTGGTCCAGATCAATGAGTTCATATGTTTAAAATGCTAAGAACAGCGCCAAGACTGTATTAGGATTAGGATTAGTGTTGGCATTATTGCTGTGCATTGATGCCATGTCCCAGAAAGACTTCTTGAGTTCCTGCTCTCCTCCCACCCCAGGCATCTGAGTCAGGCAGTGAAGAGGAATAATGACTAAGAAAAATAAAGAACATATTGATTCATTTATTTACTCATGAATTGCCATGCCTGACCTAGCCAGTATACCTGCCCTGGATATAAGAATGACAAAAAATAAGTTTAACATTCTCCTTGAAACATAAAATGTAGGTTTTGAGTATTCAGAATAGTACAGAGATATATGTTGACTCAATAAATATTTTCAGTTCCAGAGAGAAAAGAAACACTAAGAATGACATTGAAACTGGGACAAGAGAACCTGTCAGGGAGTTAAGGTGGCACACAATAAAAAGTCTGTGTAAGCAGAAGCAAGAATCACAGGTGCTGGTCCGCTGCCAGCCACCTGGCCTGCCTGAGGGAGAGATAGATGGGGCAGAAGAAGCCAGGGCAATATGGAGCAGACCAAAGGGTGGAGAAGATAAGATTTAAATATCTAAGGAAAATTGGACTCTAAAAGTGGTCTTTAGCAAAGCATGGTGGTACATTCCTGTACTCCCAGCACTCAGGAGGCTAAGGCAAGAAGATTGCCAGTTTGGGGCCAGCTTAAGCTACAGAGCAAGACCCTGTCTCAAAAGAAGGTTTTTAGAGGTTGGGAATGTAACTCAGTGGTAGAGCACTTGCCAAATATGTCTAACGTGTAAGATTCTGGGTTCAATCCCTAGCACTGCAATAATAATAATAATAATAAGTGACTTTTGGTTAGCAGAAGCCTTTTCTCCAATGAATTCACATATACAAGCTCATCACAGAAAAGAAGATTAAAAAGCAAATCCTCAAGCCCTGCCCTTTGGCCCCAATCCTTTTGGCAGCATCTGAGGTCCCCTGTGCAGAATTCTGGACCGCGTAGAGCAAAATATGAAAACCACTGATTGAGATGACTCTGGAAGCCCTCTGAGCCCAGGGTACCATGATTCTATGTTTACTTTTGTTCTTTCCACCCAGAGAGCTGCAAGAACTGAAGAGGAGAAAGAACTAAATTTCCCATACACAAAGTCAGTTGTAGGCAGAAAGCTGGGTAGGAAAAGGGGGACCCAGAAACTCCAGAGACAAGCAGGGTCTGGGTTATTGTCAGGAGTCTCAGAATGTCAGAAGGTTCCTGAGCCTGCCATGTTGCTGATGGTTGAGGTCTTGAGCACTAAAGGCATCTTCCATCAGCTTTCTCCAATGGGAGAAATATTTGTAACTTTCAGACACATGAGAGATGTGTCAAAAGTACTTAGAATTAACTTTGTAAATTGTGAACCCTAAGCCTAGTGTAATAGCACACACTGAGGCAGGAAGATCGTGAGTTTGAGGTCAGCCTGGGCTACATAGTGAGACCCTGTCTCAACATAACAAAAACAAAACTGGGAACCCTGTGTCACAGGTCCTTTTTTATTCTTGGTGATTTTTCAAGCTAGAAAATAAACATGGAATACCAGGAGGGAAGCAGAAGCAAGGTGGGCCCTGAGGTGGTCAGGACAGTGCAGAGAGGTGAGAGAACCTCTTCACCTTGAACTTGTGAGACTGGACATCTAGAGCTGGGTTTGGGGAGAAGATGGAGCTGACAGCCCTAACCCTTCAGCTGCTGCCACTGGCCTGAACCATGTCCAGGGCACAAGTTTCTGAAACCCAGTGGTTCCAGGCATGCATTTCTATTGTGCAAACCTGACATTTTCTTGGCTCAGGCCTTATAACGAGCTTGTGACTCCTCATCTACCTAGAGAGATTTGTGCTGTCCTTAGTTCTTCCTTCCCCAATCCATCTCCCACCCTCAGACAAACTACACAATAATGTCTAAGAAAGACTATTTGCCAAGATCGTTTATGACCCAAATTTCTGCCCTGAGAAGAGGAGCCTGCCTCGTTGGAAGCAAATGCTCAAGTCCTTCTGGGAAAGGACAGAAACAGCTGGTTGGCTCAGCCTCCTCTGTGGCCAAGGTCCAGGCTTCAAGCTCCAGGGCTGTGTGGGAAGGGCTTTCACCCATCATAATCATTTGCATTCCAGCAGCTGAGAACAGATATTTTCTCTCTTCATCCTAACAGGCCCACACACCTTCATCCTCCAGGTATGCACACAGCACACACACAGATGAGAGACAAGTAAGAAACACAAATAAAGCTCGGCATGGTGGCACACAGTCGTAATCTCAGAACTTGGGAGGCTGAGGCAGAACGATTGTGAGTTTGAGGCCAGCCTGGTCTGCATAGCAAGACCCTGTCTCAAAAATATCAAGGGCTGGGGAGGTAGCTCAGTGGTAGAGCACTTGCCTAGCATTTGAGCATCTCTGGGTTACTAGCACCTCAGACATACTCACATACACATGTGCACTCCCTGAGGCACTCACAAAGGCACAGTCACACATATTCCGACACAGATGTATAACTGCACAGATGTACAGCTCACCTGTTCTCCTGAGTTACACCCCAGTATAGTGGATGGTCTGCCTGACATCTATTTTTCCTTGTTTAAGTTTTCTCAGGCATGTCAAACCTAATGTGTCCATCTTGATTTTACCTTCTCTGTAAATCTGCCTGTCATCAATCTAGCCATTCCCACAAATCCATTCACTCATGCATTCTGAAAATATTCACCAAGTACCTCCTATTAGCTAGATACTGTACTAGGGACTGAGGAACCAGAGGAAACAAAACCAAAGTCATCTTCTGTTGCTAACAGTCTGGCAGGAAAACAGACAGTAAACAAAACTCAGTGCACTCATGGTGAGAAGCTCATGGAGAAAAATAACGCAGAGCAAGGGAGTATATTGTGATCCAAGAAAGGCCCTAAGGAGGTAGCATTTGAACAGTCTGAATGAAGGAACAGAAAGGGCCATGAGGCCACCCTGGTGAAGGGCATTCCTGGCAGAGGGAAACACATACAGAGTCCCCCAGGTACATGTGCTTGGTACATTCAGGAACAGTTAGGAGGCCAGAGTGGCTGGGGTGGAGCTAGCAGTGGGAGAGCAAGAGATGAGGCAAAAAAGAACGAGGGGCGGACATGTAGAGTCTGATCAGAACATTGGGTTTGGGTCTACATGTGATGCAAGAGTCTTCAGTTGAAGACAGGGAGACGCGATCAGGTCTATTATTTGCTAAAGAACTCTGGCTCCTACATGGACAACAAGGCAGGAGAGTGGAAGTCCAAAGCCCAGCAGCAAGCTACTGCAGTGGTATACCAGAGGGAGGTTGTGACTTGGACTGGGAGGGATAGTGAAAAGTAATTGGATTTGGGACACTTTCTTGAAGGCAGAGCAAACAAGATTTGCAGATTGGCTATGGAAAATAAAGAGAGATGACCCCCAAGTGTTTGGTCCCAGCAACTTAGTGGGCAATAGCAAAGCTGTCCATCAAGATGGCTAACAGTGGGCAAGAGCAGGTTTGTAGAAGGGAGTGCAAAAGTTCAGTTTCAGGCTTGTAAGTTTGAGGAACCTAATGTACATCCAAATGGAGAGTTAGGTAATGAGTGTAGCAGTCAGGGAAGAGTTATTTTAGAGACCAGCAGCATATAAATAGTATTTATAGCCCTAGAATTGGACGAGGTCACCTAGAGAGTAATTATAAAGAGGTCCAATATGAAGATGAAGCAATAGGGAAGGCTCTAGCCAATGTATATTCATTCTTTAGCTGCTCCAAGCAGAAGACTGGGGAATATCCTGGACATTACCCCCCCCCACCATCGTGACTCAATTCACTCCATCTCCAAGACCTGCCAATCCCACCTACAGAATACACCTGGAACATCATTCCATCTTCACTTCCACTGTCTGGTCCAGGCCACCATCATCTTACCCTGGCCACTTCTATACTTTCCCTATTGACTTCTTTGTATCCACTCTACTGACTCTAATTTGCGCCTCCCACAGCAGAAAGAGTGATCTTTTAAAAATGCAAATCATATCCTGTCATTCCCCTGCTTTAAAATCCTTTAATAACTTCCAAAATCATTGAGTAATTTTTTGAAGGTGCTGGGGATCAAATCCAGGATTTTGTGCATGCTAGGCCAGTGCTCTACCACTGATCTACAACCCCAACCCAAAGTCACTTAATATTGATCTAAAAGTCTTTTTTTTTTTTTTTTGCAGTATTGGGGTTTGAACTCAGGGTCTACACGTTGAGCCACTCCACCAGTCCTTCAGTCCTTTTCTGTGAAGAGTTTTTTCCAAGATAGTATCTTGAGAACTATTTCCCCGGGCTGGCTTTGAACCTCGATTGTCTTGATCTCTGCCTCCTGAGTAGCCAGAATCATAGGCGTGAGCCACCTTTGCCTGGATGATCCAAAATTCTTTTTTTTTTTTCTCAAAATTCTTAACATGATTTACAAAACCCTGTGTGATCCTCCCTTTCTTCCCTTGCTAACCTCCCTTACTGTGACCCCTTACTGTGACCCTTCCCCAGTACTTTGTACCTCAGCCCTCACTAGCTGTGACCACATCCCAGTTCCTCACACAGACCATGTGAAGCACTTAGCACAAAGACTGACACGCAGCAGTATTTGATAAATGTACACTATTGTTATTATCACTTAATTCTTTCCTACCTCCGGGCCTTCACAGATTGTTGTTCCCTGTTGAAGATGCCCTTCTTTTTTTTTTTTTTGATGGTACTGAGGTCTGAACTCAGGACCTCGTGTTTGCTAGGCAGGCACTCGGCCACTTGAACCACCCCTCCATCCCTGAAAATGCTCTTCTTTAACTCCTACCCCTTAAGTCTGTGCTAGTTTCTGGGTTTATGTTTGTTTGTTTGTTTTTGGAGACAGGGTCTTGCCATGTAGACCAGGCTGGTTGGTACTCACTATATGGCCCAGGCTGTCCTCAAACTATTGATTCTCCTGCCTCAGCCTCCAAGTACTGGAATTACTCACAACCACCACACCTGGATCTGTGCTAGTTTTTATGGCTGTATAACAAATGATCACAAAGTTTATTGATTTAAAAAAAAAACAAATTTAGGGCTGGAGTGTAGCTCAATGATACAGTGTCTATCTAGCATGTGCAAGGCCATGGGTTTGATCTCCAGCACTACAAAAAAAAAGAGGGAAGGGAGGGAGGAAAATTATCTCAAAGTTTCTAAAGGTCAAGCGTCTGGCACATTTTTGTTGGGACCTCCACTCAAGAGTTGGCTTGAAGAGCTCAGCTGATTATGCAAGGCCTACTCAGATAATCTTCCTTTTGATTAATTCAAAATCAACTGATTGGTGCCAGGTGCCAGTGGCTCACACTTGTAATCCTAGCTACTTAGGAGGCAGAGATAAGAATGATCGTGGTTCGAAGCCAGCTCAGGTAAATAGTAGCTTAGTGACAAAGTGTTTGCCTAGCACGCACAAGGCCCTAGATTCAATCACCAAGTGGAGGTTCTGGAAAAAAAAAAAAAAGGAAAATTTTAAGATGGCTGTAGTTGTGTATGTCTATAATCCCAGTACTTGAGAGGCTGAGAAAAGAAGATGGTAAGTTAAAGGCTGGCCTGGGCTACATAACAAGATCTTGTCTCAAAAACAAAACAAAACCCTTTACTTTTGTATATATAACCCAACTGAAGTGAAACCCATCATATACATTGTCCCACTCCCACTCAAGAGGAAAAGGTAAGATAGGAGGTTATGTATGCCTGAGGCTGGGAAACTTGGGGACCATCTTGGATTCTGCCTGCCATAAGATCTCATCCTGCCTGAACATGGTGATACATGCCTATAATTCCAGCACTTGGGAAGTAGAGGCCGGAGGATCTCCAGTATGAGGTCAGCCTGGGTTACATAACAAGACTCTGTCTCAGAAAAAAAAAAAAATCAACCTAAAAGTCACTTACTTAAAGAGACTTTCCATAACCCCAAGTCTAAAATAGGTCCCATGGGATGGGGATGTGGTAGAGCATTTGCCTAGTATGTACAAGGCCCTGAGTTCAGTCCCCAGCACCACAAAAAAAATAAACCAAGTAAAATAGGTCCCACTTCATATTCTTCCACGTTATCCTGAGGGTTTCTCATGGCACTTACTTGTTTTAATACATTATTTGTTTCTTTCCTCTTTACCCCATGAACTCCATGAGAGCAGGGACCCCAATATGTTCATCACTGTGTCCCCCATGCCCAGCCAAGTGCTTGGCCACAGTACATCAATGAATGGATGAATGAATGGAAAAAAACAGGCAAATAAAGACAAGAATTAACCTACTTAAACATTAATAAAGGAGGATGAAGGGATGTAGCATTGATTAAGCCACATTGAATACTATGTACTTCACATTACCTATCATTTAATCTTCATGCCATCCTAGGACTGTTACTGTTCTTAGCCCCATTTAACAAAGAGAGGGGATAAAAGTTGTGGAGAGGTTAACTTTCATGTTCAAAGTCACACAGCAGGAAACTAAAAGAGCTAGGAATCAAACCCAGGGCTACTCCCAGGGTAAATACTGGAAACCTTTGGATTTGAAAGATGTGGTTGCCTACTGGGCATGGTGGCACACATCTGTAATTCCAGCTACTCAGGAAGCTGAAGCTTCCTTCACTTGAGCTCTCAAGTTTTAGACCAGCCAGGGCAAGATAGTAAGACCCTGTCACAAAAACAAAAGACTTGGTTGGAGAACCACTACTTAACTGAGCATGTGAACTGGCCCACCAGCTGAGTCTCTGCCCTTTGTGAATGGGGGATGGTAATACCTACACAGAAGGAGGGTGTTATGTATAAAGTTCCTTGAACATAACAGATGGTCAGTAAATGTCTAGTGATCCCGGCAGGCCAAAGGGCCATCCCCTGCTGAAATAAAAGTCCTGGTTGGTTGGATTAGTTGGGTCAGGGGAGTACTAAGGAAAGGGTCCTAGAGAGGAGCCTATGAAGGCGAGGTTCTCAAGCAGACCTGCTTGCTGTAACCCAAAAAATAAAAATCTCATGTGGAAGCCAGTGTGGAGGGGTCTATTATCTGAGCAGAGCTGTCTGTCTTACTGGCCTCCCTCACTGTTCAAGGAGTCCTGGGGCAGGTAGAGGAGGTCCTTCAAAAGCTTAAGGCATGATAGTTCACACCTGTAGTTCCAGCTAGTCCCATTCAGGAGGATCACTTGATCTCAGGAGTTCAAGACTAGACTGGGCAACAGGAAAAAAAGAAAAAGAAGAAAGAAAGAGAGAGAGAAGAAAGAGAGAGAGAGAGTCACTAGGAAGATGGCAGGGCCATAGGGAGTGCTGGAAAGCCCTACCATCATTAGGATTCTGTGGTGTATATCACTTGTCCATCGTGGTGGCTTATGGTTCCACTACAGATTCATTGCATGAATCTCCCTAACACCTTCTCCCATTCCTTTTTGTTTGTTTGTTTTTGTTTTGCTTGAGACAGGGTCTTGATATTTAGCTCAGGCTGGCCTGGAACTCACTGTGTAACCCAGGCTGGCCTTGAACTTGTGATCCTTCTGCTGGGATTACAGGTGTGCCCCACCACACTCATCTCACTTTCCTTTTTTAAAAGGGACCTTGCCAGGCACTGGTGAGTGCTCATGCTTGCAATCCTAGCTTCTCAGGAGGCCGAGATCAGGAGGATCATGGTTCAAAGCCATCCCCAGGCAAACAGTTTTAGAGACCCTATCTCAAAAACACACAACACAACAAAGGGCTGGCAAAGTGGCTCAAGTGGTAGAACGCCTGCTTACCAACCATGAGACCCTGAGTTCAAGCCCCAGTACCACCAAAAAAAATAAATAATAAAAGAGATCTCCAGTTCTTGCCTTCAGCAGAGAGTCAGTGTAATTAAAGCATTCATTGGCCCTTCTCCATGATTTGAAGAAGCTAAGAGCCTTAAAGTCAGGGCAGTGCAGTTGAACTGGCGAGGGCTATGCTCAAAACAACTCACCTGTTGATGGTCACCCTGGAGCTGGGATGGTTGAAGGACTGAGGAGCTGGAAGAGACTAAGGGTTCATCCTCCCTCCCAACACCTTCATTCTATCCATGGGAAAACTGAGAGCCCAGAGAGGGAGAGGGCTAGCCCCAAGTCACACAGCTAATGAAGAGGCAGGCAACGCCCCAAGTCATCTGTCTCTCTAGGCAGCACTCTAGTACTTGAGTCACACCCAGTCATCCCAGTTACCTGTCTCTCTTTGCTGACTTTGCTGCTCCATTTGTTTTCCTTTCTGAGATGAAGAGGCTGAAGTTACATGGGAGCATGAGTGTAAAGCCAGTTCTCCCTGGACCTCTGCTTCTCTGTCTATTAAATGGGAATAATTATTCTGCCTGCCTGCACACCCACTTGCTTATGAAGCTTGAGTAAGTGACTAGAGGGGAAATGAAGTGGTGGTAGAGTTGTCTACCTGGTGGCCAAGGACCCAGAGTGGAGGAGACATGCCAGATGTGGCGGGACATGTCTATAATCTCAACATTCCCAAGGCTGAGGCAGGAAGATGGTAAGTTCGAGGCTAGCCTGGGCTACACAGTGAGAACTTGTCTCAAAAACAAACAAATGGGCTGGGGATATAACTTATTGGTAGAGCACTTGCCTAGAATCACAAGACCCTGGGTTTGATCCCTGGCACAACAAACAAAACAATGATGAAGGATCTGAGAGTGGGGCAGGGCAGGTGGGCTCCAAAGATGTAGGTTCACATTGTGGTCCTCCCCAGGTGGGGCCCAGGCCTGGGTTGCCATGGACACCATGTCCCTGGAGCATCAGATTCAGAGTGTGCAACGCCACATCAGCTTCCTGAAAAAGGAGCAGATGGCCCTGCTTCGAGACCTGCACCTAGAAATTCTGAGGCTGCAGAAACGCTGCTCAGGTGAGGCCAGGAGAGATGGCTGGGTTGGGGGTCACTGTCTCTGATGGGGAGCTCACTGTGAGCCCCTTCAAGCCTTACATCAATCCTGTCATCTTTTTTTCTGAATGAGGAAACTGAAACTTGAGGTGGTGGGGTCAGAGTTTGGGGGCTGAGGGTTCTAGTGAGATAGTGGGTGAGGGAGTCCAGGAGTCCATTCTTGGGGATACCTGTCCCTTTTGAGTCACTGCCCATGGAGCATCTTCCAGCCCTCAAAAAGCCCTGAGTTCAGGTGGGGAGGTACACATATCAACAAATGATAAGATATAGCAGAATCTGGGCGTGGTGGTACACATCTGTAATCCCAGCACTTGGGAGGCTGAGGCAAGAGGATCATGAATTCCAGGCCAGCTGGACTACATAGTGAAACCTTATCTTAAATTTTTTTTAAAGATTCAGCAAAGGGTTAGGGGTGTTGCTCAGTGGTAGGTCAATTGCTTGTCTAGAGGCTGGAGGTGTGGCTCAAGTGGTAGAGGGCCTGTTTTGCAAGTGCAAAGCCCTAAGTTCTAACCACAGCTCGTCCAAAAAAAAAAAAATTGCTTGCCTAGCATGTACAAGGCCCTGGGTTCCATTCTCAGCATTGCAAAAAAAAAAAAATTAAAAAAGAAAGCTACAGCAGAAAATAAAGAAGACTGACAAGGTCATGTGCAGGGTCATGTTCAGCTTGAGAAGCAGGTGATTGGAGGACACAGAGGCTCCTTGGGAGGGAACTCTTCACCTCCCTGAAGGCTGAGTAATGTGGAATGTGCAGACACACTGAAATATAACAGGGGAAGGGGAAGGAAGAAAACATTCCAAATGAAGGGAACAGTATAGCAAAGGCCAGAAGGTGGGAAACCAAGCTCTCACAAAAAATTCTTTGACTGGGTAAAGTTGTGTATAGAGTGGTGAGAGATCCAGTTGAAGCCAGATTGTGAACGCCATGACAAATACCCAGATAGTTAAGGAGTTTGGCCTGTCTTCCTGGAGAGTAGGAGCCACTGGAAGGGGTTTTGAGCAGTAGAGTGTTGCTCAATCAGCATTATCAATCTGACAGTTGTAGGGAAGATGAATTGTGAGAGGTGAAGGTCAGGAGGCCTGTGACAGAGCTGATAAAATGGTCCAGGGGAGAAATGGAGGTGGGTGAAATGGGGAGGGAGGCAGGTCAAAGGCAAGAACCTGGCAACTGACTGGATTTGTGACCAGGACAGAGGGAAGCAAAGGATGAATGGAAATTCCAGGCCAGGCCCCATTTTTGAAACTGTGGCCTCATCTGCCTGAGCCTCTCAGAGGCTTGGGATGGCCCAGAGTGCTCATATGGCTGAATCTCCAAGTGCAGGCTTTAGAACCAGTAGTTCATAGAATACCTCAGCTGAGAGAACCCTATTTATTATACAAGTGGGTAAACTGAGGCCCAGAGAGAGTCACACAATATGTTAGTGACAGAGTCAGGATTAGAATGCAGAGTTCCAGGCTCCCAGTCTTAAGTATCTTTGCAGGTTTCTAGACATTCTCTATCTCCATGATGCCTGGACATCTGCCCCGTTCCAGTCCTTGCTCATGGGAGGCTCTCCACTCTCCAGAGGGAAACAAGCCCACAAGGCCTGAGCAACCCACCTGGTTTCTCACAGTTGTGGCACAAGATGCCAGTAGTCCTGACTCTCAGCCACCATGGCCTCCTCTCCATCCATACATAGGTCCAGCTGCCGAATTCCAAGCCAGGCTCCCAGCAATTTTGCTCCAAAGACCAGATGGTACCAGAGGCCAGCCCAGGAGGCAGGGATGGCCCACAAGGACCCACCCCTCCCTGATGCCACTTTTTCATTACAGTAGCAACATTAGAGGAAAATAGGGAACCCTATAAACTTACATCAGTTCCTCCCTCCAATTTCTTCTTGTTTTGTCCTAATTATGAAGACCTGATTCCCTCCACCCTGGAGAAAGGCCAGATCGCAAGAAAGTGTAACAGGCAGGACCAGAGGGCCCTCTGCCCCACTACCCTTCTAGACCAGACTCTTGATTATTGATTAAGGAGATTAAAAATTAACTCTGTTCTAGTCTGGAACTGCCACTGTGGGGCTGAAATGATTAGATAAGGCCCTCCCTCTGGGGGGAGGTGCTGAGAAGAAGGAATAAGAACAAAGGAAAAAATTGGAGAAAGAGCTGGGTGCTGGTGGCTCATGCCTGTAACTGTACCTACTCAGGAGGGTAGCAGTTTGAAGGCAGCCCGAAGAAATAGTTTGTGAGGCCTATCTCGGGGTTAAAAAAAAAAAAAGGTCACAAAAAAGGGTTGGTGGAGTGGCTCAAGGTGTAGGCTCAAGCCCCAGTATCGTTAAAAAAAGGAGAAAGGACCCATAGAGGCCAGGAGGGTATGGGAGATAAAAGGGGCTTGTGGCAGAGCCAGCAGGAAAAGCTGCCTGGAAAGCCAGCTGAGAACAGCTAAGGACTCAGAACAAGTTGCTTGAGAGATGGGGAATGTGTTCTGAGCTGGTGGGGCAGCCTGGACAATAACAAGCCCTGCTTTTATGTCCTCAGCACTAACCCAGCACTAGGTCAAACCCTCTATTTTTTTCTCATTTCATTCCAGCAACAGCCCCTTGTAAGGGAGGGGCTGTTTTGTTCCCATTTTCCACATGAAAAAATTGAGGCTCAGAGAGGTGCTTTTACTGGTCTAAGGTTACACAGTGCCATCCGACTTCACAGCATGCTTATCTAACTCATAGGGACTCTGGCCAGAAGACAGGCAGGCACATTCACTAGATGGAGGAGTGGAGCCTAACTGGGATTCTGTCTTCCCATCTCCAAGACGCATGGTTAAGGACTGAAGAGCAACCAGCCCTCAGGGACTTAGTGGCAGAGCCAAGGTCTCTTGGGCTAAGCTCCTGAAACTAGTCCACGATCCCTTGAGCTATATCGCAAGGTCTTGGAGGAGGGCCTACATTGGTTTCAGAAAGACCCAGGGGTGGAGGCATCAGAGTCCTCACAGAACTCCTGGGAAGAGGTTCAGGCTCCGGTCACAGCAAAGGCCCGGGCACCCTGAGCTCTCCATCTCCTAGCAACAAGCGGCCTCCCCAGAGAAGGACAAAGCAAAGCCCCCAGTCTGTAGAAGAGCCCTGTGAGGGCAGAGGAAGAGCAAGCCAAGGGACCAGAAGCCTGTCTCTGAAGGTGCTATAGGGCAGTGGTCCCAGAGATGTGCTACCTTCCCAGCCCCCAGTTCACGCCCTCTTCTGCATCTCTACAGGTACGCTGAGGTGCTCCTGAGTATGCCACTATGGCTTCTGGCTCTCTTCTGCCCTTTTCCCAGTTCTCTCCAACCTCTGGCAAGGATTTAAACTCAGGGCTCCTGGCATGTAGTCTACCACTGAGCAACAGCATACTTCTAGCCCCCTTTTTCCAGTTCTTGAGCTCTGGTGGAGTTGGGAGATGGGAGGTGGGGCTGGAAAATGAGCATTTGGGGCACCAGAGAATTGGGACTGGGACAGGCAGGGAAAACTGGTGGCTGGGCTGCCAGCACCCAGGAGGAACCTGCTTCTACATCAGTGCCCTTCTGCAGCTCTTCCTAGGCTTTGGTGGCAGTCCAGCTTCCTCAACACCAAGCCAAAATAGGATGCAGCTCCCATCACTAGGAGGTGCTGTCTTTCTTAAGTCTCTCTCTCTGCCTTTGGAATGTAGTGGAAGTGGTTGGGGAAGCAGTGCCCATCTTCAGACAATATCATAGGCACAGCAGTACTGGCCATGAAAATAGTGAAAGGCATATATTTACTACCTATCTCCAGTGACCCCAGGAAGCTCCAGATACTCCAGCATCCATCAACTAAACACTAATGAGTGAGTCAAAGCCCTGTGTAGAACCACTCTGCTTGCTTGGCACATCACCCATAGGGAGGGGCAGATAGTCCCCCAGCCCCCAAACAAGACTCTGCCCAACAAGGAGTGATTAATCCCCAAACTGAGGCACAAAGTGTGTGCTGGAAAGATCTCTGACCTCAGGATCAAGCCTGACAGGCTCCCATGGTGCTCTGGGCAAGTCTCTTCCCTTTGCTGGGCCATAGTAACATAGGTGTAGCGGATGGGTTCAAGGGGTGGGCTTAGATGGTTTTAAGGATCTTTATTGCCACTTACTGAGCTGTCATTCCCTGATATCTAGCTTGCTTTCTGTTCATACGTATGCACACACATTTATAATTGCTTTTTCTTTTCTTTCCCTCTAGAACTGACCCATGATCTAGAGATGAGAGAGGCCCAATCTCACCAGCAAGGTAAAAGAAGGACTACCAGTGGAGAAATGCCATGGGGCCCAACAAGTTGAGTTATGGGTCCATAAGACCCATGCCTTTTCCCTCCCCAGCCTACACTTGGGGACAGCCACTCCTGTGCTTGAGGAGCAGAGTGCAGGATATCAGTCCCACTGGCCAATTCAGCTGGGTGACAATGCACAATTGAACAACCTACACCACTACACATAGTACCTGTATCCATGTTTGTCCAAAGTAACAGAGGAAAGGAAAGCCGAAAGGAGATGGCACTGTGGCTTAACTTCCACCTGGTCTGCCTCCCCAGTCCTTCCCATCGATGGCACAAGTGATCCCATGGTCACAGTCCACAAGATGGGACTTCACAAGACGCTGAATGTCAAGATGCCACACCATGGCATCAGGGCATGTCCTTGGCTTCAGGGCATTTAGCCTAGATAAAGAGAAGAGAGACATACACATAGCAAATCTTTCATTTTATAAAAGCACAACTTAGTGCCATCGCCACAATTCTACTAAAACATTTCTTCATACCATATGACTTCATATATTGGGGTGAGGTGGGGAGATGGTACACAATAGGTATAAAGTTTCAGTTTTGCAAGATGACATGTTCTAGAGGGCTAGAGGTGTGGCTCAAGCAGGAGAACACCTGCTTTGCAACAGCAAAGCCCTGAGTTCAAACCCCAGTCCTGCACACACACACCCCCCAAAAAAGTGCTGGAGATCTGTGAAAAGGTGTACTCCTGAGTAGTCTCAGCTCTTTGAGAAGCTAAGGCAGGAGAATCACCTGAGTCCAGGAGTTTGAGGCTAGTATGGGCAACATAGGAAGATCCCATCTTAGAAAAAAAAAGTTCTGGAAATGAATTACACCAAACCGTCCACCTGAAAATGGTTAAAATGGTAAATTATATCTTGCTTTCTTTTAAAATTTTTTTTAATTAATGCAGCAGGGGAAAGATTGCCTTGTTGAGATCTTAATCATCAGACTGTAGGACCTCTGAGAACTGGGACTCGGTGTTACCCATTGTCTGTGAAGTGTAAGGCACAGGTTATCTAAAAATAGATCACAAAAATAGTTTCCAGTGGTCAGGAGAATTTTTAAGAACAGGCTCCCTGTCATATTGATGTGTGCCTTATAGATCAAGAGCTACATGGTGAAGAGTTGGCAACTGGGACTACTGGAAATGTAAGCTAAAATGTTAAGAGCCCTACAAATTGCTTCATGTATATAAATATCAGCTAGGGATCATCTAAACAGGTCTTGAACTTATTCTGCCCACTTCCTTAGATGGCAACCATGAACAGCCTCTTGGTGCAGAGAGGAAGGGGGCAAATAATGCCAGACACTAGATGAGCATAGGTCTGTGACCATAGTATCCTTCCTCTGAAGAGATTTTGGGGTTACCAGGTCTCAAACCACTGCCCCAAAGAAAAGGAAAAACCTCTCTCACTGGACCTGAGAACTCTTTCTTCATCCTTCTATCACTTGGTGCTTTTCATATCCCTGGAAGAGACATGTCCTAAAAAGGACATGTCTTTTGCCTCTTTCAGCTACCTGGATCTCCTCACTCACTCACATGTACCCAATCCCAGAGTACAGATGGAGCTTCATGGTCTGGGAGGCAGGGGTCCTCAACTCTGAGCATGAGGACCACCTAGGAAGATCTAAGAGTACCCATTCCTAGAGGCGCCCATCCAAATAATCTTTGGTACAGCCCAGGAAACAGTATTTTTTTAAAAACTCTCTGGTTCCAATGTACATCCAGGATTGAAACCTACAAAGGCAAAGGCAAACAGTGAACCAGTAAACAAAAAAATTGACAAAATGTGCTAAATGCTCTGTGAAGGAAACAAAGACATTGACTCCCCCTTCCTGGCACACCCAAAACTCTTCCAGTCCCTTGCTCTTGCCATGTCTTCCTGCCACGGGGCTTTTGCACAAGCTGCTCTCCCATCTGAAGCACCTGTCTCTAGGGGAGGGGAGAAGCTGTTCATCTTCCAGATCCTAGAACAAGCTGCTGCTGCCTGGAAGCCTTCCCTGATCTGTTGACATCCTTCTATGGCAGTGAGAACACTGATTTGCTCCTTCCTGGCAAGTCACAGTGGCAACCTCACATTTAATTTGTGATTATTTACTACACTTCTGAGTGCTTTTTGGGGACCGTTTCATTATACACAATATACACAAAACCTAACAATGAATATAGACGGGTCAATAAATGACTTGTAGATGAATAAACGGTCAAGGAGGGTTTTGAACTTAAGCTGAAACAGCAAGAACTAGGGGTAGGGTAGGTGCCAGGCCCCTGAAGAAGACAAGGCAAGGCCGCTGGCTAATGCGTGCGCGGCGTCGGGGAAGTTGGGGGGAGCAGGGCTGTGCTGTATTGACCGTTGAGCGGTTCAGGTTCTGCTCCAGGCCAGGCGGGCATCGTCACCTCTTCTCTATTCTCCCTTCCCAGAGGAGGCTTCCCGGGAGCTGGAGAGCAAGTGCCGCGCGTTGGAGTCGCAGCTGGAGGCGCGGGCAGCGGCTAACGCCGAGCTGCGGCGGGAGGTGGCGCAGCGCGAGGCGCTGGTGTCGGCGCTGCGCTGCAGCCTGCGCGCCGAGGAGCGCCGCTTCCTGGAGGAGCTGCGACGCCGCAGCCACCGCGCCACCGTGCTGGGCACCGAGCTGCAGAAGCACACCGAGGCGGCCGCCTACCTCTCCAGCCAGCTGCACGCCGCGCGCCAGAGACTGCAGGCCCCGCGCGCAGGCCCTGGCGCCACCGCCGAACCCCGACCCCGCCGGCGCGCACAGCGGGCCCGCCGGCCGCCCGAGGCCACCGCCAAGGGCCCCAGCCGGGACTGGGCCGCCTGGGACCGCGCGGCCTGCGCCCTGGACGACGTCGATCCCATGCCCGACCCCGCGCTCTTCCTCTACGCTCGGAGGCCCCCGCGGCCCAACGCCCGCGGCCCGCACCAGCCGCCACCCCAGGAGCCCCCGGACCAAGGCGGCCCGCAGCCCGGGCCCTGCCGGAGCCCGCCCGGGAACGCCAAGTAGGCACTGGGCTGGCGGGGAGCAGTGGGGAAGCCCGGCCGGGCCGGGCCTGGCTTGGCCTGGGATGCCCCCTCGAGTCGCCCCCAGCCTTTTGTATTTCCAGACGTTTCCGAAGCTTCGAGCTCTCCAGTCCCTCGAGGGAGCTCGGCTGCACCTTTTTCGTGGAGAAGGACTCTAGCAGGAGTAATCCAATTTGGTCCCCACCCTGCCTCGGGGAGGGAAGGGAGGATGTCACACCCTGCCCCTAGAAAGTTGACAATCCTTTTTTTTTTTTTTTAGGAGGGGGTGGGCTGGCCTACTGGAAAGGAGGAGTGGCACTTGGGCATCCCTAGGCCTTCCAGCTCCCCTTCCCTGCCTTCCCCAGTCCTGCCTAGCTTCTTCCTCCCAGGAGAGGCTAGAGGCTGGTCCTTTTACTTAGAAGGCGCTGTCCTCTTCTCCTCATTCGTTGATAGGTCCTTGCAGGTGAGCACCGAACACTTGAGTAGCAGTCCAGTTCTCTCAGAGCCCCTGATGGGAATGCGGCCTGATAGTTGAACTTCTGACGGGCAGAATGCATACATCCTCAGAGAGCGTTATGGAGTTGGTTTGGTGGCAGGTGCTGGCCTAGAACGTCTCCAGTACAGTTCTGCCCGGGTCAGCCAGGCAGGGATGCAGGGGTAGGAGCTGTGCTAGGGGAGAGGATGGGGTGGGAGAAGCAGGCTGCCTCTCAGGCGTGTGTGAGGTCAGAGGCGCCTTTCCCCATCAGAGGCTGCCCTGGACTTTTCCTCTTTCCTGTTACTGGTGCTGATGTTGCCCAGCTTTCTAAGCAGCTGGCTGCACGGTAGGAAAGAGGGTGTGACTCCTTGAAGTGACAACTGTTGGTAGGTGTTTGGGTTTGTTGGGGTGGAGGGAGAGGAGGTGGGAGACCAGTTAGTCCCCAGCCTAGCTCTCCTCCAGGGATGCCCCTAAGCCTGTGGGAAGCTGACAGTGGTGGGGTGCTCTGTCTTGGTAAGGGGTGGCAAAATAGGAAATGGAATGCCCTCTCCTGACTCCTTTTCTGCCCATCTCCCCTCACTACCAGAGGCAGGAAATAAGTTCCAACTTACTTGCCCTCTACCCCCAACCCAGCCTAGAAACATGACCCCCAGACTCCCAATGCTGTCCGTCCTGGGTTTTGGCCCTGCAATGAGTACTAAGTGCCTGTGAGGGCTCCCAGGAGCTGCAGAGGAAGGACGCCATTCCCACATCCTGACACTAGGTTTCTGCACATTCTGTGTTGTCACCCTGGGGTCTGGGAGGTGAGCAGAATCAATCTCTATAGAGATACTGCACCCAGGAAGAAAAGGGGAACTCACTCACTGTGTTAGAGGGAGTGGGAATTTAACAAGAAACATGCCAGTGAGCAGGCTCCCACTGGATTAGACAATCCAGCCCACCCCTGCAGGATTGCTGAGGCCACTGAGCCTGGTCTGGGCTGTGCAGCTTCTGGGAGTCAGATGGCAGAGGTGCAGGCCTGGAGTCCTTGCTCTACCTGCCCTCACTTCTACCCCATCAGTCCAGTGGCTGTCCCTGTACCACCATCTCCCCTAGAGTGTGCATGGCTCACTCTGCTCTATTCTGCCACCCTTCCTATCAGAACCTGTGTGATGGCCTCATTCCCCTCTCTCAGAGGTGTCCAGAGGATGTGGGAAAGAGGGGAAAGGTCTTTTCCCACACAGCCTTCATCTCCCACAACCATACTTTTGGGGCAAACAGGGTGACTTTGTTATGTTGATTCTTCTATAGAGATGGTGAAGTTTTTTATCTGCCTGTCCCCACAACCACCCGTCCACTAAAAGCCATAGCTATGCCCACCTAGCCTCCCTCCAAGCTCTATAGCAATAGCCCTCTTCCCCTTCCCTTCTGGGTACACAAGGTATCCAGCGTGGGCCCCACAACACCCCAACCCCAGGGATCCTCATAACCTGCTTGCCTCTCCCTAGCTGACCCCATCAGTACCTCCCAAATTCTGTCCCTCTTCCAGCAACCAGAGATAATGATACTTAATTGTTTGTGGGGTGCTTAGAGATCCCTCAGATGAAAGGTTCTGAGTGCCAGGGTGGCTGACTTGCAGCTGAGGTGTTGGGGTGGCTGAAGTGTTAGGAAAGGAAGTAAGGCAGTGTGTGTGGGGGGTTATTGGACAGGCTGAGGCAGACACAGGTTTCCAGTTTCAACAGAAATGAACTTTCCCCTATCCTGTCCTGGATATAATGGAAGAGACTACCTTCTCCCACCTCCCCTTCCTGGGCCTGGCTCAAGGGACCCACTAGGCTAAAGAAAAACCTCCCAGCCCCAGCCCTGTAATGTCTGGGTGACTGAGAAGGGATGGTTTTTCCCTTTTCTCTGCTGCATGCATTCCCACTAGAGGGAGGGAGAATGTTGACATGGACATTCAGGGACCCTAGGTGAGGTTGCCACCACAGCACAAATGTGGATTGACCCAGAAGGGAGAGGTACAGGTGGGGGCCCCTCCTGTGTTCTGGAAGCCAGGCTGCCAGGACCAAGTAAACAGTGAGGTGCAAGGCTCTGTACCTTTGTTCCTGATTCCTTCCAGGGTAACTTGCACTGTGGGGGACTAGTTCAGAGTCAAAATGGGGCAGCCCTTTCCCCATACAAGCAGCAGGATAGAGGCCTTCCTTGTGGAAGGGAAGAAGGCCAGAGGGTATGGAGCAGCATCTTTTCACTTTGGGAGCCCAGGGGCCCCTAAAGCCCTCTCTCACTGATGTGCCAGCCTTGAATGGGGAACATGCAGGGCTCCAAATTCTCTGTTGGCTGCGCTTTTTAATCCAATGCTTTTCAGAGTGTGTTCATTCACCCACAGAAATAGAGCCCTGTGCTTTAGGGGTGACTGTCATATGCCTTATTGTTAATAAAATGTTTTAAAACCATGTAAGTCAGCTCCCTTCCTGCTGGCACAGTGCCGCACTCTGCCTCTGTTCCCAAAGGTGTGGGGAGAAGATAGGGGGAAGACAAAGTGGTTGGGGAATCAGTGGGTAAACTGAGCCTGGATCCCCTCTGTTGTTATTCCTCAGATAGGACATAAGGTGCTCTTGGCTGAGGTGCCCTGGCTGTCAACCTAACCCTACTCCCCCATGGGCCCCCAGTCCAAATGAATGAACAAGATCTTAAATCAGTGGCTCTTCCACAGGCTGGGGAGGCCCATGCATGGGATTATTCATTGTTCTGGCTTAGAAGGAATCCTGAAGTTCTGGCATCTTTGGCAGTGCTGGATAAACATCTGCCCAAGATTCTTGACTCCTATGTACAATTTGAGGAAAAGGGAAAACAAGGGGAAGAGAAAAGGAATTGGTCTTAGGGGTCCACTCCACGGCCACCTGGGGATGCATGACTGAGTCTAGCTCAGAGTCACAGTGTAGCAGGGTGGAGATGGGAAATGTCAGCACCAGATAAGTCTCAAAGATCATCTATGTAACCTCCTCATTTCAGATGGGGAAACTGAGGGCTATGGCCTCTTCCTTGCTATCATCCTGTCTTCTGTTACCTCTGCCCACACAGAGGTGGAGCATCTTCTCTCTCCTGGGTTCCCAGAGTCAGACCTCAGAGGTGGGGTACTTTGTCCTTCAGTACAGGGGCTGTGGGTTCCTGCCCCACCTCTTCAACCCCCCGGGGACTTCAAAAGGAGGGGGAAGTGAGCATGGCCAGTTAAGTAGGTGTATCCATCATAACAATAATTAGAGAGGTGGGAGGCTTTAAGCAGACTTAATTATGCAGGCTACGTCTCAGCCTAGATAAACCTCCATCAGCACTTACGTAGAATCTTTGTGGGATTCCAGCCCCACCCCCTCCCAAATGGGGAAACTGAGGTGCCCAGGCAGCCCTGAGAATGGGGTTATACAACTCAAACCTGCAAGGGACAGAGGAAGGAGTCAATAAAGACAAGTGGGGATTCCAAGGCTGCTGGGACTGGTTAGTCATCAGGCCCATGGACAAACGGGTTGCTAGTACCTCTGCTGACCAATAGGCACTGGAGGACAAACCATGAGGAGGACAGGGAGAGGCAACTCTACTGGGCACTCACATGGTTTCAGGCTGGTGGAACTGAGCCAGGTATTATGAAAATGATCTGAAGCTCCGGATACAAAGGTCAAGGCTGCGATACACAAAGGGAATATCTGCAAGTAAAGCCCACATTTTATAAATAAGTCTGGAGATCAAAGGTGGCACTCTGAGCCACCAGCAAAGTTCCCCCTCGAAAGGATTGCTTGGCACTCCCTACACCTGTATCATCCACTCAGCCAACAAGTAGGCCTTAGCACTTACCCTGCATCAGGCTCTGGGAAGATGCTGGAGATACCTAGATCAGTCAGGTATGGTCCTTGTCTTCAAGAAGTACTCTGGAAGCCTGGTTTGGTGGCACATGGCTAGGATCCCAGCACAAAGCAGAGACAGGAGGATCTAGAGTTCAAAGCCAGCCTGGATTACATAGCAGGATCCTATCTTTAAAAAAAAAAAAAATTTCCCTTGGTCTAGTGGCTAGACTTCTCACCCAAGAACCAGACATCCCATTTTGGCCAAGACAATCTCAATTTATGCCTGTTATCCCAGTATCGTTGTTAATAGTATCCACATTCACTCTTAAAAGTGTCCTGTTATGAGGGCTTGAGGTGTGGTTCAAGTGGTAGAGTGCCTGCCTGGAAAGCTCACGGCCCAGAATTTAAAACCCCATCATCACTGCCCCCCCCAAAAAAGTGTCCTGGTTTGAATGATAATTTATATTCCTGTACATAGCACATGTTATAGGCAATAACGGAAATAGTTGAGGGGAAATAGTTGTGGGTAAAATAACAGTAGTAGCTACTGTAAAAAACTGCAAAGAGGATCTAGAGGCATGGCTCAAGTGGTAGAGCACCTGCCTAGCAAGCTCAAAAGCCCTGACTTCAAGCCCTAGTACAGCAAAAAACAAAAACTGCAATGGAGACTGGAAGTGTAGCTCAGCTGTAGAGCACTTGCCTAGCATGCACAAGATCCTGGGCTCAATCCCAACACTGCACAAAGAAAAAAAACACACCAGGTGTGGGAAAAAAAAAAAAAAGCCAGGTGTGGTGGTACATTCCTATAGAATGCCAGTACTCGGGAGATGGAGGCAGGAGGATCTTGAGTTTGAGGCCAGCTTGAGGTACATAAGCAAGACCTTGTCTCAAAAAAAAACGGGATGAAATAAAGACATTTATGGAAGGGTGAACACAAGAATTAGTGTATTTGGATATAGCCGGGCACTGGTGGCTCATGCCTGAAATCTTAGCTACTCCGGAGGTAGAGATCAAGAGGATTGAAGTTTAAGGCCAACCCAGGGAAATAGTTTGTGAGACCAATCTTGAAAATATCCAACACATAAAAGGGCTGGCCTAGTAATAGAGCACCTGCCTGGCAAGTATGAAGTCCTGAGTTCAAACCCCAGTACCACCAAAAAAAAAAAGAATTAGTTTCTTTGGACTGGTGGTGTGGCTTAAGTGGTAGAGTAGCCGCTTAGCAAATGGAAGCCCATGAGTTCAAGCCCCACTACTGCCAAAAAAATTAGTGTGCTTAATATGTAATCAGAAGTCAGACCACCAGACGCTAGGGAAGGTGGTCAGAGAATGATGCTTTTTGTATGTCTGTTTCCTCATCCCCAGACTTGCTGTTCCACACCCCAATAGTGTCTTAAAACTGAGCTGTTATGAGCAGTATTACCACGAAAGGTGGTGGTGGGGGGGGAGTCCTCAACTTCAACTATACTGTACTAGGTACAATTCTCCAAAATCCTGGAGTTTCATGAAAACAAACTAAGTGCCCATAATCAGGATTATGGTAAAACCATACAAAAGCATATTATTACCCAGCACAAAATGGAATGAGAAAGCTCTTTGTGTACTGATATGGAGCAATCTCCAAAATATACTGCTAGTTTCAAAAAAATCAGGGTAGAGAATAAGGGTAAGTATGCAATACATTTACCTAATAAAATGGAAAAGAGTATAGAAAAGAAAGAACATGTTTATATACATATACATATGCATATTCTTAGCATATTTTTATATGCTAAAAATATCTTTAAAAGGGTATAGAACTGGTAACCTTGGTTGGTTGGCTGGGAGCCAGTGAGAGACTTCACTGTATATCCTTTTTACTTTTGGATTTTAAGCCATGTGAATTTATTTAAAATTCTAAATAAAATAAAAATATTTAAGTAAATGAGTCAATTTCCAGAGTCTTCTGTATCTGTATGAGTCTTTAAAATCCTTCTCAAATTTCACTAAAATGCTTCTCAATCTTCACAACTCAATTTTGAGTAGCCTCTTCAGAAGCTCTTCCTGACTGCCTCAGAACAGCTTTGTTGAAGACCCTTTATTCTGCAGCCTTGGACATGGCACTGCCAGGTACATATCACTTTATTTACCAGACTGAAGCTGCTTCTTGCAGGACCAGAGTCTGGCTCTCCTTTGGTCTTCCTTCTCTGGTCTTTCTGCAGCGCCGAGCACTTGTAATCTGTTTTTGAAAGACTGAATGGATCACAAGTGTGAGTGTTTTACACTTTCCAAAGTGCTTTGATGGCCTCCCAACAGCTAGGTGAGGCTAGATAGATGGGCATTTTTACCTGATAAAGGAAGCACCTTTGGGCTAGGAGTATAACTCACTGGTAGAGTGCTTGCCTAGCATGCATGGGGAGGCCCTGGGTTCAATCCCAAAAGCAAAACAAAACACCTGAAATTCAACAGAGTGATGATCCACTGGTTTGCTCAAGTTCATTCACAAAAAGAGACAAGGTAGAGTTTGCTATGTACAGAGTTCCAGTCCAGTTCAGTGTTGGACTCATGCCTCACCTTGCAAGTCTGCCTTCTACGTTCATCCAGTAGTGAGGTCTTGCTCTTATTTCCAATCCTTCTTGTGCAATAGGCCTTACCCTTCTCTCCCTCAGCTCCCCCAACACAACAGCCAGAGGGATCATTGATTCAGATGAATCTCAATCAATTCTCACCATCCTTCCTCCTGCTTAAAGCCTTCCTCCTTTCACTGGCACCTCTTCTCCGGCCTGCACTCCAGGGCAAAGTCTTCTTTCCTCTGAAATTTGTACAAGGGCCTAGGTAGCTCCCCCTCCCCCTCTCTGCAGTTTTGGACTCTCAATTTCCATTAGATCCTTAAATCTTTCACAAGGGCTTCCTGAACCTGTGCAGGGAAGGCTCAGCTCCACTCTGAGCCTAGACAACTTTAACTCTCTAGCAAGACCTGCTCCAAATGTCACCTCTGAGACTAGGGCTTAGCGTGCCTCAGGTCCTGAATTCAATCCTCAGCACCACACACACCTGAATCACTCTGACGTCACTCCTCAGTCCCCCACCAAGTCTACCTCAACTGAAAAGAACTACTGTAAAGTGTTGAGGCTGTGGAATCATACTGACCCGGCTCTTATCTTGCTCTCTATGTGATCTTGGCCTCAGCTTCCTCTACTATAAAATAATATTTGCCTGAAAGTGAGAACCAATCTAGTGGGGGTGTGCGAGGACTCTTAATAGGGGAGGAACCCGTGGTGGCTCAGGACAAAATTTTGTGTACGTTTTTAACACTTCATCCTCTCCCACCTCTGGTGACCATGCTCTAGGCTGCCCTGAGTCCTCTCCTCAATAACCCAGGTGTACTCCACTCCCATCTCTGGTGGGAAAGGGGGAGAGGAGAGCGGTGAGGGTCACGCTAACACCGCAGGTTAGAGACCGTGCAGTGGTTTCGCAGACCTGCGATAGGAAGCAGAGGGTCATTGGGGGAGGGGAGAGTTAGCAATGGCAGTCCTAGACAAGTCTCCACCCAAGGTCACGGCGCCCGTCCAACAGGCAGCAAACTGCCTGGACTTCTCCCTGAAGCCCCGCCCCTTGGGGGGGGTGGGATCCGAAGCTCCTCTCTCTAGCGTCAAGGTCCTTTGCCTTTAAGGCGTTTAGGAAAGTCACTGCATTAGTGGATGGGCGCCGAAGAGCGGCGTATTTTGTCCCTTGCGGGCCTCCGTGGGCCAGCCCAGGCGCTAGGGCGGGGCAGAGGAGCGGCGGCGGGGTCAAAGGGTACAGCGCACACCACGTGGGCCGGTGACTCCGTCCTTCCCGCAGCGGCCGCGGCGCGCAGGGCACTTGGGTTAGTGGCGCGGCGGGCGGCGCGGACAGTGGAGCCGGACGCCCGCTCCCGCCACCATGGTCATCAAGACGGACGAGTTGCCGGCGGCCGCCCCGGCCGACAGCGCCCGGGAGCACGGCTCGCAGGCCGGTAGCAAGGGGCGACCAGGCGCGGCCGGTGAGCGGGCCGGGGCCAGGGGCAGCCGGGCGGAGTAGCTGGACTGGGCCGAGCGGGCGGGTTCGGATCTCTGCAGGGACCGCCGCCTTCCCACCGCGCCGGGATCTGTTGCACCACATTAGGCCCTCCGCTGGACCGCCCCGCTCTGAAGGTCACCTTCACTGTCGCCCCCGGCTGCGGCCCGGGCTTCGCACATGGGGTCCAAGAAGGGCAGCGGCGGCGGACACACGCGCGTCAGATCGTGGGGACACGTGCGCGCACACGCGGTTTCAGGGTGCGCCGCTGCCGCCGCAGATGGATGAATCGGCGGCCCCACCCCCTCGGTCCCCCTCCCCCCCGCCCGGGGTATGGGAAGCCCTCTCGGTTTGGGGTCACAGACACATTCGGCCCAACCTCCATAAAGTTCCCCTCCTCGTCAGGATTCCAGCCATTCCCTATGCATCAGGGCTGCAGTCCTGCGAGTGAGGCTCAGTTTGACGCTTCCCAGGCTTGGTCTGTGGGAAGAGCACGAGTTGGGGAGGAGGATGTGTTGCGAAGGAGGCTTCTCTGGTTCATTCTCAGAGATGAAACAATCTCAGGCCTTCAGGCCGTGATCTTTGCCCTTGTTTAAGTGTGGACCTGGGGGTCTGCCTGTGTAGGGGAGCAAAGCCAAGCTCCTTGGCAGCAGGGAGGTGTTTGTGCCAGAACTTGATCATTAACCTGCCTTATTGCGAAAAGTGGGTCAGACTAGAGTGTTGCTGTTTTTAAGGCAAAGGTCATTAGCGTGGAGTGGAACTCCTAGGTTCTCCCTCATGGGGGCTGTGTATCGCGGCTTTGGGAGTGTCCGAGGCTTGTCTAGGGGCGGGGCCTGGTTCTCTTCCATTTCACTCTGGCCCCTTCTGTTATTTTCATCATGTCTCAGATTCGAGCCTTGAGTCTGGAAGCTCTTTCCCCAGTTGTCAATTCCCCACATCTTCCTCAGAGCCAGAGTGCTCCTGGTGGCAGTGGGAATGGAGATCTACCGGTATCTCCTGCTCACCTCACCTGTCCTCAGTAGGTACTTGTGGTCATCATCACCTCCTTTCTCAGCTTCAGTGAGCAAGCTGGGGCTGGCTGGAGTTGGGATGGAGAAAACACTGGCAAGGCTCTCTGTTTCCTGTCATAGTGGATTTACCTGAGGTGGGGGACAGGTACTCTGGCAGGTTTGTTGATTGCCCAGACAAGGCCAGGGTTTGTTCAGAACAAGAAATGCTATAAACTCCAGCCTACCAGGTTCCCTGATGTGGTTCTGAATCAGTGGGCAGGCTAGATAAGAGGAAGTCGAGGCTAGCAGGTTTCCCTTCCAGCAAAGAGACCTGGAGAGATGAAGTGACTTGGCCAAGGTCACAGCAGTTTAGTTCTTGAGAAAAACATTTGGATTTTTAGTTCATGGTCAGCATGCCAAGGCTACCCTAGCCTGACCCAGAGGGAGCTGGGACAGGCATGTTGGTCTGCATCATGTACTGAAAACCAAAGGGCTAAGGAGGGGAGAGTGTTGGAGGATTTCTGTGAAAGCCTGTGTGAAGCTTAGGCATAGCTGTGTGTTGAGGGGTCTTTGGGGAGGGTGGAGGGGGAGCTGGGTGAGTGGAAGGGCAGAGCTGTTCATTTTGGGTAAAGTGGGGGTAGTCTAATGGGTAGGACCTTGGCTCCCGTGTCTCCAGAAGCTAGTATAGCTAACTGGAACTAGCTGGGCAGCCTGGGTCTGTTAAAACGAGGAGGGAGCCTTAATGGAGACCCCCAGCAGGCTCTTACTTGATCTTCAGTACCTTGAGGAAGAGGTGATCTTGGCCTTTGGAGCAAGCAAGGGTCGTTTACCTTCTTAGGAATAAAGCAGCTTTTAGGGATTAAGAGAACAGGCAGGTTTTTCAAGTTCACAGTGATATTTCGTGTTTCTTCTGCTTAGGGGAGGACTCCTGGAGTTGAGGCCCAGAGAGGGAGGAGAAGGGGACTGGCAGATTGGGGAGGAGTTTCAGGGGCTTACCTTCTACCTAACAGGATCCTGAAGCTCTTCTCTTCAATACTGGGTAGACTACATGAGGATCTCTGAAGTAGCTTCAGACCTTGAATACCTGCTGGGTGGGACAGGAACAAGGCAAACAAAGGTGCTGGCTTTTCCAGGATCTACCATAGGCTACCTTCTTGCCTCTACCCCTTGCTTTGAAGCCTTGTACTTCTGAGATGGAGCATGTGTCTTTTGAGGCCCTACTTCCTGCTGCAGTTTAACCTGCTGAGGCTTTTGCTGGGTGTGGCCTGGCCCTGGCACCTTCTCCTGAGTGAGACCAGATCCGGCTGGAGAGAGACACAGAGGCTACTTGGAATAGCCTAAGACTCTTTCCTAACTCTCATCTGCAGCCAGTGGCTTCCTTGTCTTTTCACTCTGATTTGTCCCATTAAAACTTAGTTGTGGGGGGGTGTTGGGGGTGATCTGGCATGTGCCCTAATCACCCATCCCATTCAGCAGTGAACCACTTTCTCTTTTCCTTTTTATAAATCCCAAGTTCTTAGCAATGCCCTCCTGGGATATGGGAGGAGGGGAGCTGGCTCAGGAATATAGAGGCCTGGGGAATTCCATATCTAGAGATAGATTGCCTGCTGGACTGAATCTTGAGGTATCCAGGAGGAAGGGTGTGCTGCAGTCTGATCCCCTAGGAAGTGTGGCTTGTGCTCAGTGAGAGTAGCACTCAGAGCATGGCTTGGATGTCTGACATCCCTGATTTTTTTTTTTTTTTCCTTAGCTTGTCTTTGCTGACTCTTGCCTCTGTGACCTTGGACAGCTTGGTAACTAGTCTTGTGGAGCCTCATTTTCCTTGAGTGAGATGGCCTGATCAATCTGATTTAGGGCACTGCTGTGGGCTGGGTCTGGAGTTAGTGCTGGCTCTATGGGAACTAGAACAGAGAGAGTGTCAACATTCTTGGGTTATTGCCAGGCTGCTCTGCCTCCTTCAGAGGGTTAGGGTGTGTTTGGAGAGGGGTAGGAGGAGAGGCTCTCTGTTTGAGTCCTTCTTGCTATCTGGTCATTGGAAGGCCCAGAACCCTTCATAGGGCTTGAGAGTCTGTTCAGTGGTCTCTGGACTTAGAGGGAAGGGGACCTGGAGTGAGAGCCTAGCTCCCTGCCCCCACACTGGTTAGTATGGATGCCAGAGTAGTCCTGACTGGGCCCTGGCAACAAGTCAGAGGCTCTGGGAAGGCGTCCTGGCGAGGCTGGGCATGCTTCTTCTCCACAGCCCAACAGCCTTCGGCCTCTTGCTGCCAGCTCTGTTTTCCCCAAGGGAGTCATTTGGTTTTCTCCTAGCAGCGCATGGGCTGTTGGGAGAGGAAGATGGAGCCTGCCAGCTTCTTGGTGGAGCTCTGAGGCCTGGAGCATGGGTGTAGTTGTCCTCTGGGAGGCTGGGGGCCCATCTTCCTCTCACTGGAACCAGTGACTCTCAGAAAGGGGCTAGCTGCCAGGTCACCTGCAGGGGGCAGCAGGAGCCAGAGGCCCCAGCCATCCCCTTGACCCAGGAGACAGGCTGGGTTCTCAGTGTCTGACTGGTGGACAGCAGGCAGCCACTTCATGGCCTGGGCCTGGGTCTGTGCCAGCTGTTGCCAGCAGCTAGCTGAAGTGGTCCTGCCCACCCCCGCCTCCAGGATTGGAGATGAGGAGAGAACCCCCTTGCTGGGTTCTATCTCTGCTTGCCAGACCCCCAGGCCTTCAATCTTGAATGGTCCAGGTACACCACATACTGGGTTCTGCTCCCCAAATAGCCTCACCATCAGTGACTCCTTTCCTGAGGGGCTTAAAGAGGCAGGCCTGAGTGCTGATTGCAGCTCCCCCCAGGGTTTTGGAGCCGCTGGGGCCTTCTGGTCCATGGCTGTCCTTCTGGCCGACCTTGAGCAGGATGAGAGGCAGAGGCAGGGGGAGTGTGCTCTTCCCAGAGCTGCCCTAGCAGGCCTGGCCCCACTGAAACCCGAAGCCAGCTGGAGCTCCAGCCCTGGGCCGACCAGCTGCATTAAGGCAAAGGTAGCAGAAGAGGCTGGAACAAGGGACACAGACAGTGCTAGCCCTGGGCTGGAGAGCTGGTTGCCTCACTGCCATGGAAGTCCTAAGACGTCAGAACCAACAAGAGCACAGCCACTGAGTGCTCCAGGTGGGCTGTGGGGCTATGTGAATCTGCTGGCCTGCAGGGAGATCACTTGGCCCTAACCCAGTGGTGGGAAGACCTTCAGTGGAAAGAGGGTGGGGAGGTCTGGCATTCCTGGGGGAGAGGAAGCCCCTAGGAACCAACCACGGGTCCCTTGAAATGTAACCAGGGAATAGGTACCATTCCCTCTGCCCCCAGGTGCAGATATCTGTGCTGGGTGGGGAAGTCGGGGGAGCTGTGACCAGCTTGCTTTGTCTTCTCTCCTGCTTTGTGGCCTTCCTGTTCCAGACACCCTAAGGAGTACCAGCTGCCTCTCTGGTTCCAGGTCTGACTCTTATGTTCTGGCACCTCAGAATCAAAATTCCTGACCTGTGTTGGGTGGGGGTCTTTCTTGTTTCTTCCTTCTTTCTGGGAGGAGGGACTTACCAGCCAGCAAGCCTTTCTCAGGGACCCAGTTGGGGGGAAGCTCCTCCTGCCTGCTGTCCTTCATGCTCCCTCTTGGAAAGCTGACTAACTACTGTCCTCTTATCTCTGCCCAGTCATTAGAGCAAGGCAAGTTTTTACTTTAGGGGTGGAGCTGCTCCTTTCTAGGGACTGCCCTGCCTAGTGCTCCTGGATTACTGAAAGGGACAGACTTCATACATCCTGTGGTTCTTGGAAGTTGTACTCTAGGTTTGGAAAGGATATGGTGGGGACAGAAGGGCCAGGACAGACACTATTTTTGGAGGCCCATAGTAGCCAAGATTGAGAATAGTGTAGTGGTGTGGGTATGTGGGTTGTAGGAATCTGGAATTCACTCTGACTTGGTAACCATGGGCCAGTCTCTAAACCTTACTGGGCCTCAGACACCCTTGTTTGGAATAAGAGAATGGGGACTATCTCTGAACTCCTGGAGGTCCTATTTATTACTAAGTTAAGGGGTACAGGGAAGGGAGAGTGGCTTCTCCTCAAGTCCCCTAGTGTGCCTTGGAAAGGAGGGCCAGCTTCCTTTTCTAAGGCCTTTGCTCCACATTCTGGTGTATCTGAACAGACACTACACAGCTTTGGGACAGTGTTTCCCATCCCTACGCCTGATGTCTGGGTAGGGAAGGAAACTGGGGGTCTGGACTAGATGGGCTGGCATCTGGTACAGAGCAAAGTGAGCCGTCCTGTCTGAAAGGGGATTCAGCCCTGTTCAGAGCTGAGACTGTAGAGTTCAAGCCAAGGGGGTCAGTAGGGGCCAAGGTCACCATTTGCCAGATGGGTACCCAGTTAGGCCTATGTATATCTGGAGGGTTTCTAAGAGGAGATTCTTGGCTCTTTAGAGCCAGGAAGGCTTCTCCTTTGTTCTCCTCAGTGCCTAGAGAGAAATGGGAAGTTTTGTAACTTGCTCCCTTCTCTCACAGCATTTGAATTGGGTGCTAGTCACGAATACTAGACTTGGCTATGGGTTTGCAGAAATTAATTCATTAATTCAGTGTCTTTTCTTTGAGACAGGGCAAGACAAGAGTTGGAAGATAGAGCTTCTGGTGTGAATAGCCACTCAGAATGCAGCAGAATGACTGCTCTTCTGTCTTCTAGGAATGATGGGGTAGTAATTTAGGCAGTTTTTGAGAAGAGGGTTTATTCACTTAGACCTTCAAGGATGAGTTGGAGTTGCCCATTGGAATGGTATATCAGGGGCAATGGAATGCTCTTCTGGAGGCTATGGGATGATAATCCATCAGCGGTAATGGAATGGTTCAGCCAGGGTGATGGAATGGACTGGTAGAGGCAGTAGAAGGGTGGCATAGAGGGGAGGGAGCCTGTAGAACTGAGGCTTACTTTAGGTAGGTGTCCAAGAGTGCTGACCTAAACTTATCCAGAGGAATGATTAGGAAGGGTTCCAAGTGTTGTTCTTGAAGTTGGGGAAATAGCTGTACCAGAATTATGATTGTAGGGACTGGAGCCCAGGGGTCAGGTTGGAGATTTAGATTAGGTGACTGGATAGGTGGTAGGGGGACTTTGCAGAACCTGGGCTGGTTTATGGGGGACAATGAATTCCATCCTGGGAAGATGAACTTTTCGTTATGTCTAAGAGTGCCTGGGTGGCAGTTGTCTGCTTTGAAAAGCTTGAGCAAGGCCAGGATTGACCATGTAAACTTCCAGGAAAAGGGTATTTGAAGCTGTAGGAGAAGGTGAGGTGAGGAAGGGGATAGACTGAAGCATAACCCACAGCCCGAGGACCAGAGGAAGAGAATGGAACTGGGGTGGGGAGACAACAAGAGTGACGTTAGTCAGGAAAGAGGGTGAAGAAATGAGTAGTGATGTGATTGCTGCTAGAACCTAGATGGTCAGGTCTGGAGACCTGTGGCTCAGCCCTAAGTGTGGCATTGTCATTCTGGAGAGAGTGGTTTTAACAGTATGCTTAGGAGAAATCCAGTCTGGTGGGCCAAGGAGCAACAATAGCAAGGGTGAAGGTAGGTGTACAGGGGTGAGGTGGTATGTTGTCTAGGATTAGGGCCAAGCCTAGTATTGGGAAGGCATGCAGACCCCATTTTATAAGACACACACCCTGCTAGACCCCTCTAATTTAGCTTCTTTCTTGTCTTCCCAGAGCCTCCCTCTGTCATGCTGTTGAATGGGGACTACCCAGAGAACATGAAGAAGGAGGAGGTGATTGAGCCACCCAGGGAAAATGGGCTGGATGAGGGTGAGCCAGGAGATGAGACCACGGGACAGGAAGTCATTGTCATTCAAGACACGGGCTTCTCTGTGAAGATCCTGGCCCCTGGCATTGAGCCCTTCTCCCTTCAGGTAAGGTGGAGGAAGAGGTGCTGGGAGTGGGCCTGAGTCTACTAAGGGGGACCAGGCTGGAAAGCTAAGCCAAGTCCTTGCTCATCTTGGCCCTGCATTATAGCAGGAAGCTGAGGATGCTGGGCCTAGCCACCATGGTGGGCGAGGAAATCAATTCCAGGTTCAGGTCATTGCCCATTTGCTAGAGGACAGCCACAAGCAGGGACTGCCAACCCTGTGTGAGGAGATGAGTGGTGGTGGCTGGGTGGTGTTGGTCCCAACACTTGCCAATGTCTTGTTCTGTGCCCTCAGGTGAGCCCCCCCCTCTCTCTGGACCATGGTTTTACCTTCTGCCTTAGGAGTGGGTGGTATTGGGTACTGGTCTCTAAGAGCAGAGTTAATACAGTGGTCTTGCAGAGTAACTCTGAGGAACCAGGCCAGGCCCACTTAACATTCTCTGTAACAACAGGCTCAGACCCTAGAGCACCTTCTGGAAGGTGAAAGTCATTTGCCCTGGGGACCTTAGCATTGCTTTCCCTGTTTTTCCATCTTCACAGCACTGGTTAGGGTTTGCTCTTAGTCTATAGGAATAGTTTAGGCTTGGGGCAGGGGCACATGTGCCTGCACGCGCACACACACGCACACACACACACACACACACACACACACACACACACACAGTTGCAGATAGACATGGCATGTATGGACAGGGCCTGGAATTTAAAAGCCAGAAAGTAGGAAACTAGGTATTGTGGGCATTTATTCTAGGGATCCAGGTACTTTGGCCAGGACATACCTTGGGCCAAGCTCTTACCAGGATGGTTGGGACCTTCTCTGTGGCAGGTGTCCCCCCAAGAGATGGTGCAGGAGATCCACCAGGTGCTCATGGACCGTGAAGACACGTGTCACCGTACCTGCTTCTCACTACACCTGGATGGGAACATGCTAGACCACTTTTCAGAGCTCCGCAGTGTTGAGGGGCTCCAGGAGGGCTCAGTGCTCCGTGTGGTGGAAGGTTGGTCTGGAAATTGACAGCCTGCCAGGGGAGGGCCCTGGAGGCAGGTCAGTTAGCACTCCACCCCAATGCTTGTATCCCTGTGTCACAGCTAAACATGTGGAGATGGGATTGGAGCATGGGTCTGCTGCTCAGGCTGTCACATCCTCTCCCTCCACTGCATGACCCACCAGAATCTACATTCTAAAAATCCAGTCATTCCCAAGCCAGGCTTGGAATCAGCTTTATCTAATTTAATTACATGTTGAATCTCTTAAGGAAACTTAAAAGTTACAGCTCTTGTGTAGGGAAGTCAGGCCAGTGCAGAGCCATTCACTCTGGTGTGGTGAGACTAGTTTGGTTATAAAAGAAGTTCCCATGAATGCTCAGAGGTTCCCAGGGCCTGTTAGGTTGTTAACAGCAAAGGTGGGAAAAGTCTAACTCATCTGTGCCCATAGTTAATTGATCACAGAACCTCTCCCTGACCTCACAAAACATTATGAAGTTGGGGGTATGTGGAAGTCACGTCCTTAGCCCTCAATGAGGGCTGCTCCAGGAGAATAAGACTGACACTGTGGAGGGTCCAGAGGACCTGACACCAGTTCTGGGCTCCCCTGGGACTGTGTGAACTTTGAGAGGTATTTGCAGAAAGTTCTTTGCAAACCAGGATCCCAACCCATTAGCAAACAGGTAGGGCTGTGTGTGTGTGTGTGTGTGTGTGTGTGTGTGTGCGTGCTGTGTATGTTTTGGTGGTGCTGGGGGTTTGAACTCAGGGCTTCACACTTGCAAAGCAGGTGGTCTACCGCTTGAGCCACACCTCCAGTCTATTTTGCTCTGATTGTTTTAGAGACAGGGTCTCACTTTTTGCCCCTGTTAACATTGAACTGAGATCCTCCTGATCTCAGCCTCCCAAGTAGCTTGGATTACAGACATGAGCCACTGGTTTCCAGCTTGCGTGTTTTGAAACCAGAACTCCAGTTTATTTGTTTCAAATTCTACATATAGAATTTGAAAATGGGAGCCTAAAGTTGAAAACTTAAACTACCCCAGGGACTAGAGATAAAAGCTCAGTGGTAGAGCACTTGCCTATTACGCAGGAGCTCTGGGTTTTATCCCCAGCAATGCAAAAAGAAAAAAAAAAAGCAAAAACCTCGCCCATGATAGCACCCTGCAAACTATCCTCTGAGCTGGGTGGGTTGTCGTTAGTTGGGCCCTGGTAATGCTCTGCTCCTCTCCCTGACAGAGCCATACACAGTACGTGAGGCCCGCATCCATGTGCGCCATGTTAGAGACCTGCTCAAGAGCCTGGACCCATCTGATGCCTTCAATGGGGTTGACTGCAATTCCTTGTCCTTCCTGAGTGTCTTCACCGATGGCGACCTGGGAGGTGCGGGAGGCATTGTGGTTAGGGGTGGACAGAGGGGCAGGGAATAAAGAGGCCAGGGACTGGTGAAGAGGCTGGAAGCCAGGTCTTCCCTTCTGAGGGATTGGCCTTGAGGTGCCCAGACCAGGGTTACATTAAGTTAGGGAGGCAGCTGGCCCCGGGCCGATCACCAGCCTTGGGTCCCTCAGACAGTGGGAAGCGGAAGAAGGGCTTGGAGATGGACCCCATCGACTGCACACCACCTGAGTACATCCTGCCAGGGAGCCGGGAGCGGCCACTATGTCCTCTGCAGCCCCAGAACCGGGACTGGAAGGTGGGACTCACAAGGGGGAGTGAGGAAGAGGGTCCTTGGTGGGCGGGAGGGGTCCCAAGAGATCTGGCCCCCTCATGCTTGGCGGTTCCTGCAGCCCCTGCAGTGTCTAAAAGTACTCACCATGAGCGGCTGGAACCCACCCCCTGGGAATCGCAAGATGCACGGGGACCTCATGTATCTGTTTGTGATCACAGCCGAGGACCGGCAAGTCAGCATCACTGCTTCCACGAGGGGCTTCTACCTGAACCAGTGAGTCCCTGCTGGATCCACATGTGCCCCTGTTGTGTCCCCCATTCCAGGTTTGAGAGCTAATGCTCGGGTACTTCCTCAGTGATAATCTCTCCCTGCAGGTCCACAGCCTACCACTTCAACCCCAAGCCTGCCAGCCCCCGCTTCCTCAGCCATTCCCTAGTAGAACTGCTCAACCAGATCAGCCCAACCTTCAAAAAAAACTTTGCTGTGCTGCAGAAGAAAAGGTAACACCTTTGTGCCATTCTTGCCCTACCCTGCCTCCCATCCCACTGTCTGTACATGAATCCAGGAGTGAACACCAGCACCTCTGCCTGCAGAAGTGGTACCCCCAGGTCCTGAGAGTCCCCATGTGAAGGGGTGGCACCTGGGAGAGGTGTCCATCCACTTCTGTCTGACTCCAGGGCAGCATTTCAGGGCTGAGAGATTGTAAAGCAGTGGGGGCCTCGGAAAAGGAACCCACAGCTGTGCTTTGAGCTTGGTGGGCTGCCCCATCTCCCTTTCCCTCAACTGCCTGCCACAGGGTCCAGCGCCACCCGTTCGAGAGGATCGCCACCCCATTCCAGGTGTACAGCTGGACAGCTCCCCAGGCAGAGCATGCCATGGACTGTGTGCGTGCAGAGGATGCCTACACGTCGAGGCTGGGCTACGAGGAGCACATTCCTGGACAGGTGCTGCCTCCCTGCCCTTTTGGCTCCCCTACTCCAGGCTGCTTCTATGCACCTCCCACAGAGCTCCCATCTGCTGGTCTGTCTATGGGGAGGGGGGTGAAGAGACTGCCCAGGCAGGCTGAGCCTGCACCTGCCTTCCTCTGCAGACCCGGGACTGGAATGAGGAGCTTCAAACGACAAGGGAGCTGCCCCGCAAGAACCTGCCTGAGCGGCTGCTTCGAGAAAGAGCCATATTTAAGGTACCCACAGCCCCTGTGACTGACAGCCTCAGGCCTACCCACCACCTGCTGGTTGGTCTTATGATCCGCAGGAATGTGATAGAAGCTGAGATGATCCAGCCCTGTCAGCTGCTCTAGAGACTAACCAGGGTACCTGTGGAACATCCTAGCTTCCAGCCTCTCAGCAGCCCCTTTTTCTGGTCTCTTTGAGACTTTAAAAACATAGGAAGGAGAAGGACCCACCTCACATTGGGCTGAGTGGCAAGGGTCATCTAGGGCCCCAACCTTCACTGACTGCATGGGGCCCTCTCCTGGGCACATGCTGTGCCATCATGACCCTGTTCAGGTGGTTAGCACATTTGCGTAGCACTTTGAACTTGCTTGGATTTAATAGGTACTATTACTAAGCTAGAAATGAGGAAAAATAGTTACCAGAGCAAAAGCTATGATTTCTAGGGTTCTAATTTGGCCAGGGGCTGTGCCAAGTGCTGTGTAGGTATTACCTCCTGAGTAAAGAATCCCTTGTAAAGGTCCACACAATACATTACATTTTTTGTCAGTGGTTTGTGGATGTGGATACTGGGTCAGTGGTTACCTGCCTCAGTTCACCTGGCACGTAACTGGTGGATCCCAAACCTGTTCCAGTTCTCACGTTCCTTGTTAATCACTAAGCTCTGCCTTCTAAACAGAAGAGTTAAGTGTAGTTTTTTTTGTTTGTTTTTTATGGTGTCCTCATTTTTTGTAAATATGAGGCAACTGAGGCTATGGTCCTTTGGCTTCCAGGATAGGCCGTGCTGCCTCAACCATCTAGGTGAGCAGGGCCAGACTAGGGTGTACCTTGAGGCTCTTTTGAGGCCTCTCTCATCTTGCCAACCTCACCCTTCTCCCCCACCCCCCCACCAGGTGCATAGCGACTTCACAGCCGCAGCCACACGGGGTGCCATGGCAGTCATTGATGGAAACGTGATGGCCATCAACCCCAGTGAGGAGACCAAGATGCAGATGTTCATCTGGAACAACATCTTCTTTAGCCTGGGCTTTGATGTCCGTGACCACTACAAGGACTTTGGTGGGGATGTAGCAGCCTATGTTGCACCCACTAATGACCTGAATGGTGTTCGCACCTACAATGCAGTGGACGTGGAGGGGCTGTACACACTGGGCACAGTGGTGGTAGACTACCGTGGCTACCGGGTCACAGCTCAGTCCATCATCCCTGGCATCCTGGAGCGGGACCAGGAACAGAGTGTCATCTATGGCTCCATTGACTTTGGTAAGACAGTAGTATCACACCCTCGGTACTTGGAGCTGCTGGAGCGCACCAGCCGTCCCCTCAAGATCCTGCGGCACCGGGTGCTCAATGACCGAGATGAGGAGGTGGAGCTCTGCTCCTCGGTGGAGTGCAAGGGCATCATCGGCAACGATGGGCGCCATTATATCCTTGACCTGCTGCGCACCTTCCCACCTGATCTCAACTTCCTGCCTGTGGCTGGTGAGGAGCTGCCAGAGGAGTGCAGCCGTGCTGGCTTCCCCCGTGCCCACCGTCACAAGCTGTGTTGCCTGCGCCAGGAGCTGGTAGATGCCTTTGTGGAGCACAGGTGAGGAACTGCCTGGAAGCCTAGGGCTGTCAGGACCCTGTATGTTCTGAGACTGATCTTAGAAGGGAGAAGCTTTGGAGAGCTAAAGCCTGGCTGTGGTTATGCTCCCTAGAACCTATAGCCCACCCGGCCCATTCCCACCTCAGGTGCCCTAATGTGGAATCCAGGGGCTTAGTGTTGGTTGCATAGTAACAGGGAACTCAGAAGCAGTTCTGTCCTCTTCAGGAGCACATAGAAATGTCACTACCAGGGTTAGGAGGTGGTGCTTAGGAGTCAGCCATACATTCCACCCCAGAACAAACTCTTTTCTCAAGATGCCAGTGGTATCGCTGTGTCCTTCAGAGCCTTGGCCTGGAGCCCATGGCCCACCCACACAGACCCCAGCCTGTCTGGGGAGAGCTTTGTTTGTTTTGTTTTTTTGAGATAGGGTTTTGGTGTGTAGCCAAAGACTCAGGATCCTCCTTCCTAGATCTCCCAAGTGCTAAGATTATAGGTGTGCAGATCTCCCAAGTGCTAAGATTACAGGTGTGCTTGAGCTTGCTTTTTGGGGTTTTTGTTTGTTTTTGCAGTACTGGGGTTTGAACTCGGGGCCTTAAAGCTTGCTGGTTCTACCACATGAGCCACTCCACCAGCCCTTTTTTGTGTTGGGTTATTTCAAGATAGGGTCTTGAGAACTCTTTGCCTGGGGTGGCTTCAAGCATCAGTCCTCCTGATCTCTGCCTTTCAAATAGCTAGATTACAGGTGTGAGCCACCAGTGTCCAGCTTGAGCTTGACTTTTGTATGACTACTGCCATCTGGTATTGCTGCTGGTCTGCCACAGACATGCATGCAGTTGTATGTGCACACTGGGCAGGACGTGTTCCTGTGCCTTCAGGATGTCCAACTTCAACATTGCCTAACTCTAACAGGCCAGGAACCTGGGCCCTGGCTCTGGTTCTTGTAGCCAGCAAGAGGCTACCAGGCCAGCAGAGTTTCCAAATGCCTCTTTCCTACCTCTTGCTCTTTCCCTTCTGCTGTGCTGTAGGTACCTGCTTTTCATGAAGCTGGCTGCCCTGCAGCTGATGCAGCAGAAGGCCAGCAAGGTGGAGAACCCCACCTCCTTGGAAAATGGTGACCTTCCCTCCTCGGAATCTAAGCATGAAGACCCTCTGGGATCTGAGGCAGGAAATGAGGAGGGCAGTAGTACAAGTGGCCTGGCCAAGGTGAAGGAGCTGGCAGAGACCATCGCTTCAGACGACAGTACAGGTGGGGCTGCTGTGCATGTCGGGGGAGAGCCTGAACCTGCCTTGGAATCTGGTCTTTTGCCAGGTGTGGGTCATGACTGAGCCCCTGAGAGAGGCAGGCAGACATCCCGGCAGAGAGTGAGGGGGCCAGAGGCTCAGGACAGTACAGCCCCACTTCCCATTATGCTATCTCCACAGCAGACCCCCGGAGCCGGGAGGTGATCCATAATGCGTGCAAGGCTGTGGGCTCCATCAGCAGCACGGCCTTTGACATTCGCTTCAACCCTGACATATTCTCACCAGGCAAGCAGTTAGGGTGGGGAGTGTGAGAGCCCTGAAAGCAGGGGCAGAGCATCATGGGGTAGGGTTGGGGCCCTGGGTGCTGGTAGATCCACCTGCCCATCTGAGCCCTGTCCTCTTCCTTCCCTGCCCCCTAGCATCTGTCTTGCCTCTCCTGTGCCCTACCTAGCTGAAATCTCCCCACTCTTCTTCTAGGGGTTCGCTTCCCTGAGTCCTGCCAGGACGAAGTTCAGGATCAGAAGCAGCTGCTAAAAGACGCAGCTGCCTTCTTGCTCTCTTGCCAGATTCCTGGCTTGGTGAGGGAGGGGCTGAATGGGTGGGTGGGGGCCATCAGAAGGGGCTGTTGGAGGCCCTGGTGCCTATGAGTCTGGACATATGTGGAACTTTTGTGAGGCAACTGCTTTAGTGCCTCCTGTCCTACCCATAGGCAGGGCCAAGTGATTGTCCCCATTTTACAGAGGGGGACCTGCCCACAAAGGTTCAAGGGAGGCGTTGGGCACAAGCTCTGCCCCACTGAGCCTGGGGGTCTGGTCCTCTGAGTTCCATACAGCGGGAAACCTGGAGGTTCCCATCCTCCTCATCCCACAGGCTTTGGACTTGGGCCCTTCTGATGACATGCTGGCTTCCTCTTAGGTGGCACACTTGTCTCAGATTGTTGAGCCTCCAAGCCTAGGGTCATGGGTATAGGTAAAGCTGTGGCCCCTACATGGTCACCTGTGTTCCTTCCTATGTGATCAGAGAACAACCTGTGCCACCTGCAGGCTCTTAGTTCTTTACCCATGGGCTAGGCTGTGCTTGTGTGGAAAGCAAGGAAGGTTCATGGCCTTGCTACCACCTTATGTCCTCCTTTCTTCCTGTCTGGGAGCTGAGGCCCCAGGACAGTGAGAGTTACCTGGGGAGACCTAGGGGGGTAGAGGCAGAAGGTCCAGGCTGGGCCTTGACCTACTGCAGCCCACAGGTGAAGGACTGTACAGACCATGCAGTGCTGCCCATGGACGGGGCCACACTGGCCGAGGTGATGCGCCAGCGTGGCATCAACATGCGCTACCTAGGCAAGGTGCTGGACCTGGTTCTGCGGAGCCCAGCCCGTGACCAGCTGGACCACATCTATGTGAGTGGGATTTGGGTGTACCATGATGAGATGAATGACTGGGGTGGAGACTTGGGGCCTGACTGAGACTTCCCCCTTTGAATCCTTCTCAGAAAATCGGCATTGGAGAGCTCATCACACGCTCTGCCAAGCATATCTTCAAGACGTACTTACAGGTGCCCCCTGCCCTGGCTTGACTGGGCCTCCCTGGGTGGTATGGGGTTTTGGGGAAAGAGTCCTGGGGTCCACCCTTCGTGACTTCAGTCAAAATGTCCCTTGCAGGGAGTTGAGCTCTCAGGCCTCTCAGCTGCCATCAGCCACTTTCTAAATTGCTTCCTGAGCTCCTACCCCAACCCTGTGGCCCACCTGCCTGCTGATGAGCTGGTCTCCAAGAAGAGGAACAAGAGGAGGAAAAACCGGCCCCCAGGGGCTGCAGATAACACCGCCTGGGCTGTCATGACCCCCCAGGAGCTCTGGAAGAACATTTGCCAGGAGGCCAAGAATTACTTCGACTTTAACCTTGAGTGGTGCGGGCACAGAGTCCTAGGGGAACAGGGCACCATGGGTGTGGAGCCCCAGGGGTGGCGGGTTGGGTAGGTGAGGCAGCACTGCTGGCTTTCAGGTGGCATCTAGGGCCTGTGGTCACAGGCAGTGAGGAGAGAAGGGAAGGAGGATTGACTATGAAGGTCTGCTGGCAGGGGACTCAGGACTGGGAGCTGTTTGGTCTGAGCACTGGGAGGACTGGGGGCTCCTAGAGTCAGATGGAGAAGCTGCTGTTCAGAGGGGCAGGCATGGGTGTGGGGTTGCTCAGGGTTCCTGCTCCTCCTCCAGTGATGCCGTGGACCAGGCTGTGGAGACCTATGGCCTGCAGAAGATAACGCTGCTGCGGGAGATCTCCCTCAAAACTGGAATCCAGGTGGGTGTGGGTTGCGGTGTCTTTGTTGTGCCCTTGCTCAGTGGGCCTCTCTTAGCCAGGGTCAGAGCCATAAAAGAGGTGGCTTTCTTAGGGTGGCAGTCTCTGGACACAGGTAGGGTGGGAGGTGCTGGCCCTCTGAGCCTGAGCCTGAGGCTGAGGCTGCTTACCATATTGGCCCTGTTCATAGATCCTGCTGAAGGAGTACAGCTTCGACAGCCGCCACAAGCCAGCCTTCACCGAGGAGGATGTGCTCAACATCTTCCCCGTAGTCAAACACGTCAACCCCAAGGCTTCGGATGCCTTCCACTTCTTCCAGAGTGGGCAGGCCAAAGTACAGCAGGGTGCGTGACCAGGCAGGCTAGGGGAGATGGTGGGCATCCTTCGCCTAGCTCTGACCTTGCTGTCTGGGACTGCCCTATAGGTTTCCTGAAGGAGGGCTGTGAACTTATTAACGAGGCCCTGAACCTGTTCAACAATGTGTATGGAGCCATGCATGTGGAGATCTGCGCCTGCCTGCGCCTCCTGGCCCGACTCCACTATATCATGGGCGACTACGCTGAGGTGGGTGAGCAGGAGCGCCCCACTGTGTCACAGAGGCCTTTGGGCCTAATGTGGGCAAGTGAGGGGCTTGGAACTGCATTGTCTCCCCTGCATTGACAGATGGAGTCCAGGCCTGTGGGACTCTGTCAGAGGGGAGAAGGTGGAGTCCAGGAAGCCCGGGGTCACAGTTCCACTCCGCACTCACTGTCCTTGGGAGAGGTTGTGCTCTGATAAGGTGGACAAGTGGAAATGACGCAGGGCCTCCCCTTTCAGGGACAGTGGCAAGGGTAATTCTGAGACCCTGTCAGCAAGAAGTGTTGTACAGTACTTAGCTTCTTCCAGTGCCAAGCAGTGTTTCTGTTGTCCTTGAACATTCTGTGGCCCTGTGTTCAGGCTGCCTTGCTGGTACCTGGGCTTTAAGAGGCTATTTCTGGGGTTATTATGCTTTCTTATCCTTATACCCCTTAGAGGCTTTTATCCTTTTGTGTAGGCATGAGCTTTTTAAGTGCAATTTAGATTGTATGTGTATATTTGCATAGATTTTGTTAGGAAGTTTGTAGAAGAGTTTAGTGGGGTATAGGAAACCCCTCCCACCCCCGCTTGGTCACAGGAGCTGGTCGTGACCACCTGTCTACTGCTTTTGTGAAGAAAAGAATAGGGCAGCCAGAGTTGACAAGGCTAAATGGGGTCAGCTTGGGTTCTGGGTTGAGGGGCAGTGATCATTTGGGATTGATACCCTTTTCCCAGGCACTGAGTAACCAACAGAAGGCAGTGCTGATGAGCGAGCGAGTGATGGGTATTGAGCACCCAAACACAATCCAGGAATATGTGAGTAGCCACCCTGGGACTGGTGCACATGGGGGCAGCCCTGCAGCTACCCTGACCTACCATGGGTCCATCCACAGATGCACCTGGCCCTTTACTGCTTCGCCAGCAGCCAGCTGTCCACGGCCCTGAGTCTGCTGTACCGTGCTCGCTACCTCATGCTGCTTGTGTTTGGGGAGGACCATCCTGAGATGGCACTACTGGACGTGAGTGCCAGGGAGGGGGGCAGCTGGTACCAGCTTCAGTCCAGGGGAGCCCAAGTTGACCAGGTTCCCGCCTACCCCCCAGAACAACATTGGGCTGGTGCTGCACGGCGTGATGGAGTACGACCTGTCTCTGCGCTTCCTGGAGAATGCACTGGCTGTCAGCACCAAGTACCATGGGCCCAAGGCCCTCAAGGTGGCCCTCAGGTGAGGCTGTGCTGGCACAAACTTCCAGGTTCCTGGTGACCTCTTGGTGGGATACGGGAGGGATCCATGTTTTCTTCTCAAGCTCCACCTCTTCTCTGCACCCTGGCCTTGTGTGATTTCCTCAGAAGGACTCGGGTTGGGGAGGTTGGTAATACAGAGCAGACTCCCAGCCCCAAGAAGGCCCCATTGCTCTTGCCCACTCACATACCTCTTTTGCCCTGTGCTCCCTGCCTCCTCACAGCCACCACCTTGTCGCCCGGGTCTACGAGAGCAAAGCTGAGTTCCGGTCAGCCCTGCAGCATGAGAAGGAAGGCTACACCATCTACAAGACCCAGGTGGGTGGAGTGGAGGAAGTAGGAGCTGGGCAGGTGGACCGTGGGCAGCCCTGATCATCTCCTGCCTTGGCCCCCTGTCCTGTAGCTGGGTGAGGACCATGAGAAGACCAAGGAAAGTTCTGAGTACCTCAAGTGCCTGACTCAGCAGGCCGTGGCCCTGCAGCGCACCATGAATGAGATCTACCGCAATGGCTCCAGCGCCAACATCCCAGCCCTCAAGGTATGGTTCTGGCAGTGTTGGATGGGCCCATCCCCCGCCTCACAGCCTTGCCCACCTGCTTGTCTTCCTCCTGTCCCTCAGTTCACAGCTCCCAGCATGGCCAGTGTCCTGGAGCAGCTCAACGTCATCAATGGCATCCTCTTCATTCCTCTCAGGTGAGGCTTCCACTGCCCTCTCCCCCACTTGGCAGTTAGTTTTTAGGTTTTAAGTCATGTCATACGTTGACATGGCTAAGAATTGAAAAGCATTACCAGTGATAGTTCCATATGATTCTTGCTAGAATTTACATTATTAATAATCTTTTTTTTTGGTAGTACTGGAGTTTGAGCTTGCTAGGCTAGGCAAGTGTTCTACTTCTTGAGCCATGCCTCCAGCCCTCAGAAATTGCATAATTGAGAAGTACATAGCTATATTTTTTCTTTTTTTTTAAATACAAAATTGGAGCATATGACTATGTATATGGATTTCATTTTTTACAACATTTAATGTGTTGCTGATCTTTCATATCCAGTACATAAAAAAGTAGTTCCTTAAATTCCAAGGACTCCTGCATGGGTGCTTACAAACTGTGGGAGATGGATTTGGTCAGCCAGCACCCCCCACCCATTTTCTGCATATAGTCTGCCGTAGGAAAGGCCAGAGGTTGCAGCTGATTTAAACATTTGAATGGTGTGTAAGGGTGAGTGGGAATAAGGTGCTTAGTTAAAGGCTCTGTCAAGTATATCCAGCTTAGACTTTTTTTTAGCACTTAGGAACCTTTCTGCTTTTGGGAGGGAAGCGCTTGTTCTATACCTCACTTAATAAAGCACAGAGCTTGATTGTATCCCACATATAAGTGTTACCAAAGCCAGCAAGGTGGCAGAAGGCCCAGGCTTCTCAGACCGTACCTTTACCTCCATCCTTCCACTTAGCCAAAAAGACTTGGAAAATCTGAAGGCTGAGGTGGCACGGCGGCACCAGCTCCAGGAGGCCAGCAAAAACAGGGATAAGACCGAGGAGCCCATGGCCACTGAGTCTGAGCCAGCGAGGGCCCCAGAGGATGTGGGCTCCCAGCCCCAGGCTGCCAAGGACCCTTCCTCCCAGAGTTTGCAGGGATAAAAAAGGGAGAGACAGATGGACATTCAGCGGCCCCGTTACCCAGTGATCCAGACAGACTCCAGGAGAAGGGGGCATGTCCTGCAGATTGGGAGAGGAAGCCAGTCCCTCTTCTTCCATGTTCCACCCCAACCCCACCCCAGCATCCTCCTAGGATCCCAACCTGGCCTGCCTGCCCCCTAAAAGATGTGTTTTTGCACTGGTTCAATGAATACACAATGCAGAGGCCTAATTGAAGACATGTGAATGGAGTGTGTGGGCATTGGTTCCAACTGGGGGGCAGGTGCCCTTCAGGCCCCCCGTCCTCAAGCAGGTGTGTGCAAGTGTGTCCATGCCCGTGAGTCTTGATTCTTCCCTCCTAACTTGTACATACCCCCCCAGTCAGTCCTAAGTGGATGACGTGCAGATGCGATTTCTCAGGTCATTTGTATGTTTGACATTATGGCTGCTGCTTTTGCTGCCACTACCCCTGGGCCAAGCCTGGCTTAAAGTCCAGGTTTAAGCCAAAAAAGATGGTGGGAGGTGGGGGTGGAAGAGCTCTGTGGCAGGGCTGGAGAGTTGGGGTGTACTATAGTTTTGTGGCAAGGTGAGAGCTACAATGGCTTTGTTAATCCTGATTAGGACCTGGCCTGGCTTCAGAGTAAAGTGAAGGGGCTGGTGGTGGTGGACTCCAGACAGCCACGGGTCCATCAGGAGGCACTGCCTTAAGCTCTCACTTGCCTCACCAAACCCTAGGTGGGTCTAACCCTCGGGGCCACAGTCTGAATGTATCCTTCACCCCATTTTAACCTAAGCTGCCTAACGCACAGTGTGGGGTAGGTGGGTGAGGGGCTGGGGACCCAGGGCTGAATCATGGATCCTGGGGATCCAGATAGTAGTGATTGTCACCCCTTTGTGGAGCCCAGCTCCTTACCTGACCCTTGCCACACAAGCACCTTCTACAAGAAAGTAGCTCTGGAGGTGGTGGACACCCGACCACCCCAGCTCCTCCCTCTCCCGCCTGCCTGTGTCGCTTTTCTGTGCCTGCTGTCCCAGGAGATGGCCATCCTGCAAGCCCAAGGGAGCTGTTCTGGGCAGAACCTCTGCCCAGGGCTTTCTGGAGCTGCTAATGGGTAATAGGGTCTGTCCAGGCACTTTGTTTCAAAAGGAGTGGGTGTGAGCTAGCAAGCAAGGCATCCCCACAGCTGATCAAGAACTTTTTCTTGTTTTTAAACCATCACGTCTTCATTTCACATTGGAATAAAGTGAGTTTTTGAAACCTGCTGCCCTAGCCTCACCTGTGTGCTATGTAACCCAGTCTCTTGTCTGACTGTGAGGCCCTCAAGATGTCTTTCTATACCTTAGGTCAAATTCAAGATTATGCCTAGGTCACTTAAGTGGGAGGAAAGGGAGTAGAGTTCTAGGTACTCAGCTTGTCACACAGGTGACAAGAGGAAAAGGCTGAAGGCTGGGTGGGGGAGAGAACACTGGACAGCTAACAGGCTGGGCAACCCTCCTCTACAGTGGGAATGTCAAGTTAATCAGAGTGCACTTTAGAGCCAGTTCATGGAGGGCTAATGAGTGGGGGAAATATGAACCCAATTAGGTGGATTTGAAGAGAGCCTGTGAAAAGGGTTTAAAGAGAGGGGTGATTACATCTCAGTGGCTGCTACTCAGCCACCCCTTTCTAGAGCAGGCAGGCCCTGGGACCTCATTACTCTTGAAGTCCTTCTGGTTTTATTTGTGTGCTGTGGAATCCCAAGCCCTTGAAAGCCTTTTTGAATACTTGGAGAGTCTTGTGTCTGAAAAGAAAAAAAAAAAAAATTCAAGCCTAATGTGTTAGTTCTCCTGAGCCAACTGGAGGACTGCCTGATCTTGAGAGTTTAAGTGACCTCTAAGCATAGCCGTCAGTACCTTGACCATGTAAAGCTAGTGTATGTTCCCCACCAACAGTTTTAATCTCGTGCTTGTGTTCTAAACATGCTTTCCTCTGGCTCTCATCCAGTGAGCATGAGTCACAAGTCGTTTCTGCAGACGGGACATCCATGTAAAGCTGACACTGGCTTGGGTGATTATTGTGCCAACTAGTGAACCATTTTTCTTTTTTTTTTGGTGGTATGGGTATTTGAACTCAGGTTTTGCATTGATTGGCAAGTGTTCTACCACTTGAACCACACCTCCAGCTTCTGGTTGATCCCTTAAGCATATTAGCATACTAGTGCTGTGAGACACTGAGATCTCAACCAAACTAGGGGCAGTTTTATAAAAGAAATGGGGAGCAGAAATGTGAAGTCCACCCTTTCTTTTTAGCTTTAGTTGGCCTTTTTTTTTTTTTTTTTAAAAAAAGGCTAAACAGTGGTAATGCCAAAGTCTGACGTGGCTGTGGTGTGGATAGAAGTTATTCAAGATGGAAACGTCTCCCCAAATTCCCTGAGCCATATTCACTCTACCATGGTCTTCTGACTTTTCTCCCATGTTTTGATTCTTTAACATGCACATCACTTTAACGATTGACATTGTACGCTAGGGATGTAGCTCAGTGGTAGAGTGCTACCACTAGCATACAGAGTCCTGGGTTTGACCCCCCAGCACAACAAAGAAAATAACATAGCCAAATTAAACTTTGAAGGTTGTGTCTTGTGTGTTCACTCCCTGTCCTGAAAACTCATTGTTAATGTAACGAGTATTCCTGCTACTAAGGAATCTCTAAATCTTGCAGCTAATAAGTTTTGGGGGCTTTTTTGGTGTGGGGGGGGTTGGAACAGGGGTTTGAACTCAGGGCTTCATGTTTGCAAAGCAGGCTATCTTCCACTTGAGCCATGCCTCCAGTCCATTTTGCCCTGGTTATTTTGGAGATGGGGATCTTTGAAAACTATTTGCCTGGGCTGGCCTCCTGCAATCCTCCCAATCTCAGCCTTCCAAGTAACTAGGATTACAGATGTGAGCCATGCTAAGAATAAAATATTCTGATGTGGTCCAGACTATTTTTCACTCCTGCCCTGAGCTACCAAATCAAATCAGGTGGCCAGCCTCTTGTGGAGCACGCCACTAATGGGTGATCAATACACTTAAAGATGGAATCAGACTCTTCAGGGTACAATTACCCTGAGCCACTTGATGTTGACTGAGGGGTCTTTCCAAGATGGGCAAGTTCTTGCTTATCCATTGCCAGCACCCCCCCCCCCAAATCCCTAATGGCCATCCTACAAGGTGTGAGCAGTGTGGTGTGCTGAGCATGAGCTACAGGGATGAGGCCATCTCTCAGTGGTTGAAAAGGGCTGGTGGAGTGACTCAAGTGGTAGAGCACCTGCCTAGCAACCGCGAGGCCGAGTTCAAACCCCAGTACTGCCAAAAAAAAAGTATATATATATATATATATATATATATATATATATATACACACAAGAATTATTTTTGCAGTACTGGGGGTTGAACTCATGGCCTACACCTTGAGCTTGGGTTTTTTCAAGATAGGGTCATGAACCATTTTTCTGGATTGATTGGCTTCAAACTGTGATTCTCCTGATCTCTGCCTCCTCAGTAGCTCGGATTACAGGTGTGAGACTCTGGTGCCCAGCCCACTAAAAAAATAACTTAAAAGACACCACAATGTCCTTACCCTCAACATCTAATACGGTTTTAGGCAGGTGAGGGAAAAAGCAAATGCATTTTAAGTCCCAGCTCACTCCTTAATTAGCTATAATACCCTCGGCATGTGATCGCACATTATTGTGAGCCTGTTTTTCTGTCCATAAAATCCACTAAACCAATTTCACATTCATGGTGTGAGAATAGGCTGTATGCCTCATTAACATTCACAATGCCTACCACCTTCCCTCTCCTAGTCCCTTCATGTTCATGGAGAGGGCTAGGTAACTTCCTGGAAATGGCGACCATCTGAATACTCACAAAGGAACAAACTCCCCTGTGTCAAAGGGTGAAAGAGAGAGGAGATCGGAGTTCAAACCACAGCCCTAGGACCCAGGGACCATCAACTTTTGCCCAAATTTCTTTGGTGATAAATTGAATCCTTCATATCAGGGCAGGTTAAAAATAGTTGAAAAGTTTCATTCAGTAGGACTGAGGGGGGGGGGGCCCAAAGCTCGCATTTCTAATGAACCCCCAGGTAATGCTGATGCCAGTGCCCTGGTTCAGGGAACTTTGTGAATTGCTGCACTAGAGGGTTCTGATATGTGTCAGTTGCTGAGAACTGCCACACACAAGTCAGTTTCCACCAAACTATGCAGGGAGTGCTGCAACACCTTTCTCTGCCTTTTCTCTTCCATTTTCCCTCCCCCTCCATCAAGGGACAGACACAGCCATGAATCCTGTTATGTGCCACAGGCTTTGAGCACTTACTAAAGCTAGAACTCTACATCCTGGGTGAGTGGTCAGGCCCATCTAGGGGAAGCAAAGAGGTACCCTACAAGGAAGCGAAAAACTAAAAATGCAGGATATTCTGGATCCAGCTTTCCTTTTGGGGGGAAGCTATTCCCAACAGGAAGCAGAACAGCTGGGTTGTAAAAGAAGAGCCAGCACATGACTTAACACCTGTCCTTTTGTACATGAGAGAAGGGAGCTAACACTAAAGACACAAGGTGAGCAGTAGCCTGGGGATAAGGTAGGACACAGAAACCACCTGCCTGTAAAGTAGAGAGCTGTGGGGAGGATGAACAGATGAAGACACTTAGGTACACTTCAATAAAACTTAAAGACAGTATTAGGGATCTACAGGAGGCTCACTCATAACAAGGGAGTAGGCCCCTTACCTCTGGGATCACATCTATATTGGGAGCTCTCACAGGCCATTCCTGGCTCCAGCTGAAGTGACCCTCAGAGTGCTTAGCTGGAGAGGGGGGTGGGGCTGTAGCTGCCCAACCACTCAGCAGTTCTGTGCAAGCCCACCCAGCAACAGCCCTACCATCGTGCTTCCTCCAAGCACAGAAAAGCCAGTGGTGGCACTGCCCTCAAGAAAAGCCTACCATCAAGGCACTCCTGCCCTGTGACCCACTAGTGTCTTACTCTTTCTGTGAAGCCTCAGTCTGTGCACAACCCCCCCACCAAAAAAAATCACATCTAGTTTTATAGGCATTTAATAGTTTACCAATTGGTACAATAAGATTTTTAATATGCAGAAAACATGAATAAATTTTGTTTTACACAGTCTGAGAGCAACAAATCTTACTGTAAAACACAAGAGCAATATTATATACATTCCTTTACTGATTTTTTTTTAAATTGTATCAATATCTTCAGTGAACTCTTACAATCTGGGGAACTGTTTTCTCCAATTACACCTCTGCAACGTTCATATGAAATCAATGTTTGCCTTCATGTCAGTGTCAGGATCGACTTTTAACTCCAAGATTTTATTTTTAACATCTTCAGAGTGAGCTTTAGGGATGCCTGAAGGATAGGCAGGACAAGAAAGCAGCTACTTACATGATATAGTGGAAAGATAAAAAGGCCAGTCCAGTCCAGTTGTGACTTGTAAATCCAGCTTGCCCTCCCCCCACCCCACTGAAAAAAAAAACAAAACATTTTCCACCAATTTTGTACATGTCACTTCTCTACCAGAAGATTATTCTTTGCATCATCTAGATTAATTAACACATTGGACTTATATACAGCTGGACAGAAAGAGTAACGATATTAAGTGCCTTTTTCTTCAATTTTCAACTTCAGTGGCTTAAGTATATTAAGCCACCACTGTCAACAAACAAAATGTCCTTTATTCTTAAATAGTTTTTTCTTTTTAAATTAAAAAAAAAACTATTTAATGAATGATATTACCTGGAAGTTCACATAGAAACAGAAAGAGGCAAACAGGAGAGTAGGGTACTGACAATAAGGAGACTGGGCTTGGTGAACCTAGAGCCAAAGTTTCCAAAGTAGTACAGCGCTCCACAGCCCAGGACGTCTTGCAAACTAGTGGTTTTTGGGTAGTGCTCTGGGGCACTCCATTGGTCACACCACACACAGACAAAATAGGACGGTCTTAATCTCCTAAAGTGCAAGATACCATGTCGAAAAGCAACTATTCTCCAGCAATGTCTAGACCAGTTTACGTGGCTTGCACTCTCAAGAACACAGCTAGGACTTCTTGGGCACGTTCTATTAGGGTGGCACTGGAATGTTTGTTTCCACACACACAAAGTCAGTAATCATCTGAGGATGCAATTCTACCAGTTTTTTATTTCTTAAATAAGTGGCCAATCTGCAAAAGTGACAAAGCAGCAGTGAACCTCTAAACCAATTAATAAAGTCCTCTACTTACAATCCAAACCAGTAACCTCATCATATTGTCCTTATCCCAGGCAAGGCACAGGGTTAGACAGCAGACAGAGAAAACAAGAGAACACAGTAAGAAAGGGCATCAACAGGGCAGTGTCAAACAACAGTGCAGGAAACCTTTGCAGATCTGATTCCAGATTGTGGATAGATTGCTCTCTCCCACCCCCCTTCATTATTCAAACAGGGCTCTTTACATTTGGGTCCAGTTGTGGACCATCCCTGAGATTCAATGTTCGCTGCTTCTTAAATGGAGGATGTCTGGTAACTCAACTAGGCAGCAGGCTGTGGCAATCTCCCAAGGAAGGGTAACTTTTGCTTACAGAGTAACTGTTTCTCCTCCTTTGTCAATGACAGTCATTGTATGCTGCAGGGGAAGAAACCCAGCGAACAGCAGCTTTGTTCCTCCAAATCGGTACCATTTTTCCTTTATTGTTTATGTCTGTGAGTGATTTCTAGATGTTGTGGCTTACCCTTAAACAATTCATGTTGCTACATGCTAAAACTGAATTAAAATACAAGACATTTATACATGTACAAACAAATGTTAAGATGCACCATTTCTATGTAAATATATTTCTTGAAATAGGACAGGAAATAGCAGCAAACGAGAACAAAGATATTTTCCATAGCTTTTGGAGAAAAGTCCAGTCAGAACACAGCCTGTTTGTGTGAGGGAGGAAGACTCCTCAATGTAAGCAGGGTTGTGAGGCAATATTGTCCTGAAAGTTAACCTACTATTTAAGGAATTAGCTTAAGATGTAATTTTTGTCCTCAAAAATAGCCATTACTTCTCAAAACACTTTCCCTTCCAGAGACATCTCTCAGGAATTACTAAAAACAAACAAGCAAACAAACAAGATACAAGCTAGACATTAAGCTGCTTCTAGTTAATACATGGCCTATTCTCTGTGTATGTATCTACAGGACATTAACCCTCACCCTTTGTCTTTTTCAGGAATTAAATCTCCATTAAATACTAAAAGGGACATTTTTAAAAAATCATGTATTACACAAATGAGTAAAATGGAATTCAGAAAAAATTATCTTTGTTAAACTGTCATTGTTATTTCATTGTTTTCTATTAACTTTTCAAATAACTTTCTTTAAAAAAATTATTAGCTAGGCATTGGAATTCTTTATTAATAAATGACAATGAAATAGTGTTCCAAAAGTCATGGACAAAAATTCTCTTAAACCTACTTGTAGCAACTTTGGATCAAAATATACAATATATCAGGGATGTGTAAAATGCTGAATGGCCAACATAGGGAAGGGGGAGATGAAGGAAATGACTCTGCTTCAGCTGGGAACCCTCCCCCCACCCCAGTCAGATCTAGTTTTTAGAAGTATTAAAACAAAAAAAGGGTTTGTTCTAAAGCATGGTTGTGGTATTCCACAGCAAGATTTATTCTACTTGTATGTTTAAGACATGGAGGTTGTATGTATGTGATATACAGATATAGACTTATCCACCTACAGATAGGCCCATATACTTATAAACATTTATATATAAACAAAAGGTGAAAAACAGTACATTTTTATGCACACTCCATTAAACCCTGTCACTTTTAAACTTGTAAGTGAAGCATAGTTCAAATTATCAGATTTACCTTGAAAAGCAAACTTCTGTATTTCTCCCACTCCTTTAAAATGGGCAAACAACCTTTCAGTATTTCTGTCATTATGTAATGCACATTGCACATCCCTAAAAAACATCATAAAGAAATAAGTGATTTGTACCATGACAATGAGAAGGTTAAATTCTACTTGGTAGTCACATCACGATACAGTCTAATAGTATGAAGAATATAACTAGAAGCATGTCTAGTGTGGAAAATAGAAGCTTAGACTATGACAGTGTTTATTAACCTGTTTACAAAGCATTAAGATCCAAATGAAAGAAGTGATTTGCTATTAGCTGCTGAGATTTTTCTTGAGATTTACAATCATTTTCTTACATAAATATACCACTAGCCTTTGCTTGATAGGCCGCCAAAACAAACGTATCCTATTGATTTGGCAAATGGGTCATGACAAAAATTCCAATGTGTAATCCCCATTAATTACATAGATGGTTCATAAGATTTAGAATTGTCTTATTATCTAACATCCTTAAAGATTTATTAAGCACACTTAAGTGATGTTACATAGATACACATTTCAGAAAAAGCCCTAATAACCACCACTTTTCCCCAAATGAGGCCAACAAGTCAGGCACCAACAGATAGCAGAAAGAAAAACAGGAATTATAATCCAACATAAAATGACACTGTCAACTATTCAGTTTAGTGCCCTAGATCAATTTATTCAATTTCTGTCCTTGTAGGCCTGGTGTGACCAACGCCAGCCCAGGTTTTTAAACCCTATGGTACTTCTAGACAACGTATGTAAATTTACAGTATACAATTTGGATTCACCATGCATGAATACTTTGTGTGTAACATTTAATAAGCTCAATCTACATCCAGAATAATTTACATGAAAGGACAATATTTATTTAAACAGAGCTCAATGGGGTAACCATGGTATCATCAGAGTGCATCCAGAGGAAAAGAGGAGAAGGGGCCAAATGAGACTCAATCAACGGCACTCCCACACCTTTACTGTTTGATCTACACTGCCAGTGACCACATAGGGTGCCGTCTTGTGGAAATCTGAAAGAAAAAGAAAAGGCTTGTTTTCAAATGAGAGTAAACCAGGTATTAATTTTTACTGAATCATAAAACAAAGAAGTCCACATGCCAAGAATCTCTTTTTTTTTTTTTTTGTAGTTTTTTATTTTGAGACAGGATCTATTATGTAGCCTAGACTGGCCTCAAACTTGTGATCCTCCTTCATCAGCTTCCTTAGTGCTGGGATTACAGGCATGCACCACCACATGGGCTACAATGTTTTTGTACATATACGTACCCACTCCACAGAGGGTATCAAGCTTACCAACTGGGTTAAAGAAGGTTAGACTCAATGATTACATCCTGTATTAACACCTCAATAAAAACACAGTCTCATTACCCCCATTCCAAATGAGGCTCAATTCTAACAATGAGAGCTAAGGCATATCGACTTACTGAATACTAACTGTGTTCTAGGCTTAGTACTAATGTTTTCTGTTCACATTTAATCCTTGAAATAGTTCTGTTAGGTAGCCATTAAGTTCATTTTACTAAAGCTTTATCTTCAACATTAAGTCCATCAAACCCTGGCAGACAACTTAACTAAATTTATTGTCTTAAATTTCATATTCAAGTCCAGACGATACTGAGGATGTCTATTAAACTTAAATATAATTTTTAAAGCTCCTACTACAAGGTAGTACCTTTCCAGAAGGAAAAAAAAATCAAGCAAGATTTTTTGTGGTTTGTTGGCAGTACTGGAGTTTGAACTTAGGGCTTGCTAATCAGGTTCTCTAATCCGAGTCACACCCCCAGCCCTTTCTGCTTTAGTTATTTTTCAGATAGGGTCTTGCACTTCCTTCCTCCCTACTCCTCGTCCCAGGCCAGCTTTAGGCCTCAATTCTTATGTATACCACTTGTATAGCCTAGATTACAGCTGTGTACCACCACACCTGGCATATTTGTTGAGATGGGGTCTTGTTAATTGTTTTCAGCCTGGACTGGCCTTGGACACTGATCCTCCTGATCCTTCACCTCCTGAGTAGCTGGGATTATAAGCATGTACTATACAGCCAGCAGATTTTTTGTGTGTCTTTTTGAGATAGGATCTTGCTTTATATAGCTCAGGCTGTTCAGTAAGATTTCTTTTGAGAAATTTACACACTAGTAGGGAAGAAAAATTAGCTATCAGAGTGGTCAGTTAGTATCCTTTCACAATTCTAGTTTCCAAAACCAATGCTGTACAATGAAGAGGGTAATTTTTTATTATAAAGCTAATGATGGAAAGAGAAATTTAAAGCAACTGGTAGGAGTTCACAAAGTTTTAATCTGCCTTCTCTATTCTATTCTTCCCTGAAAAAACATGGTCATTTCTTACCTGGAAAAATCCACAAGGTTACACAAAACTTTATTACATCTGGCACTCCAAATGTAATTGTTCAGAAATATAATGTGTACATACCCAAGGAGGTAACAAAGTGTTCATGCGCATTGAGGGTCTTCATGCATCGCTTATTCTTGTAATCCCATACACGTAGGGTCTTGTCATCAGCACAACTCAAAATAAACTTCCCCCCAGAATGGAACAGAACTCCACGTACCCAGTTATCATGACCCACCTTAAAGACAAAAGGTTATTTGGTAACCTTTTGTTAGTAAGTAAAAGGCTAAATAATTCAAATAGCATCTATACAATAATATGCTATTACAATAAAACTATATGCACCAGTATTCTTGAAAAACAAAGAGAAAAGAGAAAGACCCTAAAGCGTTATCACCACAAAAATGCTACCTATCTCTAAAAGGGGAAGTCAATAATCTTCACACTAGAAATACTGGACCAAATTACAAATCTTTTGAAAATGTACCAGTTATAAAAATTGCTATGGGAAGGCTACTGGAGGGCTGGTGAAGTGGGAGACCACTTGTGTGTAAGCAAGCATGAAGCCCAGAGTTCAAACCCAGTATGGCAAAAAGAATTGCTATCAGATTAATAATACCCATGGGTCCCCTTGGAACTACCTAAGGCAAACTAGAATGTCCACAATCCCTTATTAGCATTATAAAATTGCACAGAATTAAAATAAACCAAATAAACTACATCATATGAATTAAGAGGTGATAGTTAAAAGAATTCATATAAATACAGTAAAATAAAGATGCAATCATTATAAAATATGAATGAGTGTGTATGAACATTCTTTCTCCTCCAGAAAGTATTACACAATTTTTAAAGAAACAGTTGCCCAGGATCTTCTTCCCCAGCACTGACTGGCTTTGTAGATTCTTTTGTTTTTTTTAAGTGTGTATTAGCTGAATGAAGGGGTGTCGCCATTATATTTCATAACACATATATTGTACTCTGAAATTAACTCCCTTATTGTGCTCTTTTTTTCCCTGCCTTCCCTTGTCAAAAGCTTTCAGTGGGTTTCATTTTACTCACCTCCCATCATTTCTCTTCCCCTCTCTCCCCTCCCCGTTTCATTCACCCCAAACAGTCCCACAATTACACTCGTATCACAAACACTTTAGGTTTAGATTCTCGTATTGTAGATTTTTTATATAAACATGACATTCTATATGAGTTTCATATCACTGTAACAATGGAATTTAAAGAAAAGCATTTTTTAATATCCCAGAATAACTAAGATTATTAAATAAGATATCATAAAGCAGCTAATCCAAAAGGTAAAAAACACAGTGAAGATGCCAAAGAAGCAATGACATCATGCAAACTTACAAGGGTCATAAGGCACATGCCAGTACTGACATCCCACATCTTAATAGTTTTGTCTCTGGATCCAGATAGCAAGAACGGCCCAGGCTTGCCACTTTTTTTAGTCTACAGAAAACATAAAAATTAATTTTCTGATGCAAGAAGTTAGATAAAGACTTTAAACGGCTTCTATTATTAACTACATTTCTAATTTTGCAAAATTGCAATTTTTTTTTATTTATTGTAATACACAAGTCTTTTGATACTATACCTAGGCTACACAGGAAGGGCCTAGGTAACAACAGGTAAGGAATTTATTGCTCAAGATTTCCTGGGCTGGATGCGTGGCTAAAGTGGTAGAACACATGCTGAGCAAGCACAAACTCCTGAGTTCAAACCCCAGTAGGGCCAAAGAATAAAGAAGGGAAAAAAACAGCAAAGAATTCTGTAATCAGGGTGATGATATAGCTCAATGATAGGCTATTTGTCTGGCATGCACAAGGCTCTGAATTTGAGCCCCAATTCGACCACTTCTGTATCTAAGAATTTTTAAGCCTGGGCACAGTGGCTGAGGCCTGTAATCCTAGCTACTTGGGGAGGCAGAAATTGAGAGACTCAAGGTGCCAGGCCAGCTTGGGGAAAAAGTTAACAAGACCCCACCTCAATCATAATCCAGGTGTAGTGGTATGCACTTATGATACCAGCTATGTAGGAGGCCACAGGTAGGAGGATCCAGGGCCAGGGCCAGCTCTGGGCAAAATATGAGACCCTACCTTAAAAACAACTAAAGCAAAAACTGCCTGGTGGGTGCATGGCTCAAGTGGGAAAATGCCTGCCTAGCAAGCATGAGGCCCTGAGTTCAAACCCCAGCACTAACAAAAATTAAATAATAAATGAAAATTTTAAAAAAGAGAGGGGTTTAAGGGGTGACTCAAGTAGCAGAGCACCTGCCTAGCAAGTGTGAGGCCCAGTTCAAACTCCAGTACCACCAAAAGAAGTAATAAATTTTAAAACTATTCAGTTTTTATGTAAAGTTCAGTCAGCACTTCATGATATATGGCAAGTAAAAGGAATCTGAAATTCCATCTGGGATGTAGCTCAGTGGTAGAGCACTTGGCCAGCATGTGCGAGGCACAGGGTTTGATCCTTAGCACTGTTAAGAATAAATAAATAACAGACAAACAAATAAATTTGAAAATGTGATGGGTCTAGCAAAATAAAGAGAGACCACAATACAAGTTTAATTTAGACAAATAACTGGGAAATTATTTAGAAAAATAGTTTCTTCCCGTTTATTAAGGTCTCGCTCTTTTTTTGGCGGCATGCTTGCCTCAAGCTACCTTGAGCCACTCACCAGCCCTGTTCAGGTCTTGCTACACAGCCCAAGCTGGCCTTGCACTAAGATCCTTCTGCCTCCACCTCACAGGTGTATGTCACCACACCTGACTTCAAATGATCACTTTCATTCTTCAGGAGACTCCCCAGACCAACACAGATCAAATCAAGGGTCAGTTTACAGCAATAATAATCACTGGTTAAAAACCATAAGCACAGCTGCATGTTGGAGAGAGTAAAGAGTTTCAAGATTCAAAATTCTAGGATACATATTCTTAAATGCATTATCAGACCTGAAATTGAGAATCAGAAAAGTTATCTAAGGCTCTAAGATCAGCAACTAAATCATGAAATGACATATAAATCATACAGTACCTCAGATCCTGTTGCTTCAGAGATGGAAGAATATGAACTTTCTGGAGCCCAGGAAATGCACTCTACCACATGCTCATGTTCTCGGAGCTCAGCCTTGCATTCTTTTGTGGCTACGACCCATACACGCACAGTCTGGTCATTGGAACAGCTGGCTATCAGAGTGCCATCCTGATTTGGCCGCACCATACGTACCCATTCTCTGTGTCCTGTAAATGTCTTCACACAGTAGCTGTCAACATAAGTAATAATTTATATTGTGAATGACAATCATCAGTATACATATTCTCCACAAGTCATACAAAAATAGCATTAGGATAAAGAGAATAGCACCAAGTTAGAGAAATCATATGCAAATCAACAAAATAAATGTAAAATCCTGCTTAATAAAAGATAAGCACAGACCAAAAAAGTCAAATACCAGCTAAGTTGGCAGGAATATCATTAAAGAACTATAAATCAACAATTATAGAAGGCAAAATATATAAAAGAATAAAATCTTTTAAAACTAAATCCCTAATAAACCAAAAAAATTATTTCTAGCCATGCTGGGAAAAGTTTTGTTTTGATTTTTGATACTCGTATTTGAATTCAGGGCCTCACACTTGGCAGGCAGGCACTCTAGCACTCGAGGGCCACTTTAGTAGCCCTGTTTTGTGGGGGGGGTTTTTGTTTTTTTTTTTTTCCCCCCAGTACTGGGGCTTAAACTCAGGGCCTACATCTTGAGCCACTCCACCAGTCCTTTTTCGTGATGGGATTTCTTAAACTAGTTGCCTGGGCTGGCTTTGAACTACGATCCTCCTAATCTCTGCCTCCTGAGTAGCTAGGATTCCAGGTGTGAACACCAAGCTTGGAAAAACAGTTTAATTTGAGCAAAAATAGTTAAGGCTTGGCTACAACAATCGAGTGTAAGTCTAAGCACAACCAAAATCAGCCTAACAGGGGCATATCAGCAGACATAACATAAATGTTATTTACATTTAATTTCAATCCACAAAAACATCACCTAAAAGGAGACCATAGAGAAAATAAGCCACGTAACAGAAACCGTCTCTTATGATGTCTCTGTTTCTTTTTGGAAAGAAGTGAGTTTTTGGTTTTGTGTTTGTCTGTTTTCTTGCAGTGCTAGGGAATAAAGCCAACCCTCAAACTTACTTTCAAAGTACATACTATAACTGTCATGATCATTCTAGATTAAAGCCAAAATTACTAAACATTCAGAATACAGTTTTGTTTATTCATTTCTCTTTAGCTGATACCTTTTCAACTAAACCTACTTACCCAGTTTGTACTTCCCACATTTTTATGGTTTTATCCCTTGAGGCAGACACTATATGATCTCCATTGGGCATGATGGCTACTGAAGAGACATTGTGGTCGTGGCCTAAAACACACAATTAACACATAATGTATCACACAACATACCACCAAGGACAATTAAACCTCAGTTTGCCATGGTATTAAAACAACAACAAAAAAATCACAGCAAGTTCTCAATACACTGAGTTTTACATGAATTTGGTAAGATTTACACAAAAAGTAATTAATAAATGTTCAACCTGTACAACTGTTAATACAGCCATCACCATCTGAATATACCAATTAATTTATATGAATTTAAATGTTTATATGTGAACTCTATACGTGAAATACAAATTCCCTATGGATGATATTCTAAGACATAAAAAATAAAATTTATAAAGATAAACAGAATAGATAAAATATACAGTGTGGTCATGAAGACCTGTAATCCCAGTCCTTGCAGAGACAGAAGGATTTCAAATTCAAGGTAAGTCTAGGTTACAAAGCAAAACCCTATGTCAGAGAAAAGGATAGAGAGTGGGAGAGAAAGGGGAGGGAGGGAGAGGGAAGGAAGATGAAAGAGACAGAGAGAGATGGGGAACTGGTTCTTTGCTTACAACAGTGGTTGAGAATTAACTTTGCTGATGTTCATGGGGGTAAAAAAAATGTATTGTTTCATAAACTTTGTTCACATGCCTAACTACAGCTATGCTTTGTGGAAAAGGTCCCAGACAATACTCATAAATATCACATTTTAGTGAGTAAATCTAACACAGATATATTGTAAACATATCATGTAAATGTCACAATGTACCTCCCTGTACAACTATTACATGCCAATAAAATAATTCAAAAAAAAAATCACATTTTCAAGGAATGGATAATGTCAGTTGTTTTTGATTTGAACTCAGAGCCTCCCACTTGCTAGGCAGGCACTTTACCATTTTAGCCATGCGCCCAGCCCTGTTATTTTTGAGAAAGGAATAAACTATCACTCAAGCTGGCCTCGAACTTGCAATCCTCCTGCTTCCTCCTCCCAAAAGCTGGAATTATAGGCACATGCTGCCACAACAGGCAAGAACTCACTAAGTGACAACAACAACATACCAACAACTTACAGAAACATAACTAAGACACTTTACAAAAGGATATACCAGAATTCCTTAAAGGGAGTAAACTTCTCTAGTGCTTTTAATTTGGGGGAGAAACCATACTCTTCAATTATAAAATCCTTATTTAATAAACACCTCCTACATAACAAGATGATTTAAGTATATGACCTCATTTTATTATTAAAACAATTTTATGACTTAGGTATTACCTTTAGTTAAAATTTCCTAATGCCCTAAATAAACAAGAATTCGAACTCCATTAACTGACTCCAAAGCCCCACGCTATTCCCACATTGCCTCAGGAAACAACCTTCACAGCAAGACTTGGAAAACAAGCTTACAACGGGTGTATATACGGAACATTTTCTAGCTTTCAATATACCTACTCTTTCTACACTTGCTTCCTAATTGAAAAGATGGAAAAAGAAAATCGCAGTAACAATTTCCCTTTCTCTCAGACAAATCAGTGACCCGGTAGTTTTTGTTATCCAAGACTAGTGAAAGCAAATTAAATATTTTATGTAAGCTACTGAGAGATAAACCATCATAACAAACAACCCTCAACCGCAGTGGCTTATCCACTGACTATGTACATATATCATATGCCCTTTCAGCAATGCAGACAATTAAGATTTCAATACAGGACACCTGCAAATTGTTAGAAACGGTATTTTCTTCTCTCAAGTGCCAAGCTAGAAATTACTGCTGAAGTACTACCCTCTCTATCTCTTACCATGCATGGTTCTGATGCATTCAAAGCCCTGAAAATCCCATAGCTTAATGGTCATATCTGCAGAACAGGAAGCCAGAAGCTTGCCACTGTGGTCAAAGGAAATGTCCTGTACAGAATCTGTATGCCCCTTAAGAGTTCGTTCAAAATCTCCAGTCTCATAATCCCACACCTGTAAAGTGAACAGAAAGCTTGTTAACACCAACCCTGCATTTCTTCAAATTTTACATTTACACTCAGCAGGCCAGTCTGACATTATTGACTAATTAACTAAACAAGTAATAAAGAATAATCTGTCTTAGAAATATCACATCTTCAAATACAAGTTGGTCTTTTCTCTATAGAGAAAACTGATGTTGTTTGAGAGCAGGCAATAGACATAAATAAGGAAATTTAAGTATAAAAAATTGTTTTCTTATTTGTAGAATAGAGCACTCAATCCTATTAGAGCTCAGACATCTAAGGGGCCAAGAAAAAATTTTTGTTAAGATATAAACTGTTCATGAGTAACAGATTAACAGAGGCATATATCATTTTAAATTTAAAAAATGAAATAACAGTAACACTTTAAGAAGACAATTTTTCTATTTTAGAAATAAGTTAGCTAGATGCTGGTGGCTCACACCTATAATCCTAGCTACTCTGAAGGCAGAGAGCAGGAGGATGGAGTTTGAAGCCAGCCCCAGGCAAATAGTTCACGAGATCCTATCTCAAAAAAAATCCATCACAAAAAAGGGCTGGCAGTAAGAGCATTGCCTTGCAAGTATAAATAAGGCCCTGAGTTCAAATCCCAGTGATGTCCCCCCTTCACTCCCAAAAAAGAAAGAAGTTATCAAAAATAAACATTAGAAACTGATCTTGAGCTGGAGGCATGGATCAAGTAGTAGAGCACCTGCCTTGCTGCCTTGCAAACACAAAGCCCTGAGTTCAAACCCTGTACCACTTAAAAAAAAAAAAAAGAAGAAATAGATCTAAGCTTTCGTTCTATTGGTCAAATGCTGGTCTGACTTCAACCTTTAACCAGTATCAACTCTAAACTCTAAATATCAAACAACTGATCCCATTCACCCTGAAAGTACAGATTTGACTGTGACAGGGTACATCAATTTGGGGAAACAGTGTATTCTGAAAACATGGAAGCGAAAAAAATACTTTAACATCAGGGGAAAGACCAAATAGAAATAAAATTTGTATCTATAAAAAATTTATTACAAATATAAAATGTAAAAAATTAAACACAATAATCACAACTACAAAAAAGTTGCTTAAGAAAAATTACTGATAACAAACATTTCTTTTATATAATACTTAAATGTTTCCTAATATAAATATTTTTTTTTTTTTTTTTAAAGACAGGGTCTCACTATGTAGCCCAAATTGGCCTGGAACTCCAGATCCTCCTGTCTCAGCCTCCCTAGTGCTAGGATTATAGACATATACCACCATGCCCAGCTCTAAACAAATAAAACCTTTACCACTTAAATTTTCAAGCATTTCTACATGAAAGAGATTAGTATGTGTTTAATTTTTTGTATGTCTTGATAAACTTATGCCTAAGTACATCAGGTTTTTTTTTTAATGTTAACATAAGTGGTATTCCTTGAGTTTCTATTATTCATTGCTAGTCTATATAAATATAATCTTTTTATATTGACCTGGTGTCCTGTGATTCTGTTATATTCAGTCATAGTTCTAGTAGCTTTTTGTGGTAGGTTCTTTGGGATTTTCTATGTAGAAGATCATGTCGTCTGCAAACAAAGACAGTTTAATTTCTTCCTTTCAAAACTGTATACCTTTTCTTTCTTTTTCTTCATTACTGCATTGGCTAGGAACTGCAGTGCAATGGTGAACATAAAAATGATTGAGACTATACAACCAACCTTGGTTCCTGATCTTCGGGGAACTATATTCAATTTTCTACCATTAAGTATTATAGCTGCTTTCTACTTCTAGCCAGTTGAGTTTTTATCAGGAAATACTGGAATTTTGTCAAGTATTTCTCTAAATCTGTATTTTTTTTTATTGTTGATAAGGTACATCATCACACTGACTCCATTTTCAAATGTGAAACCAATCTTGCATCCTGGGATAGATAAATTTTAGCTACAACATATTAATTTATCTATTATAACTGGTTACATTTAATTTACTCACAATTTCTTAAAAATATTGCACATATTCATGATTGATAATGATCTGTAGTTTTCTTGTAATATCCTTGCCTCAATTTGGTATCTAAACATTTAATTTTTTCACCAAGAGTTCACAGAACTCTATTTTGCATACTGAAAATAAACAAGATGTAATCTTGCATGGGAAATTATATTAAGTTTCTTCTACATTCAATAAAGAACACTAAAGCAGTTTATTCTTCAAATAAACTCAAAAAATGAACTGCTTGCTGTCTTTGTAAACTATAAGCAAATAGAACATTTCACTGTTAGTTCTTAATGAGTCATTAAGGATTTCATTTTTTGACATTTACAGTTCATCTAAGAGTAGTAAGTACTCATGACAAAAAAAAAAACCTTTATAAAAAAAACGTACACAATCCTACCAATGGTACAGCTTTTCCATTTTGTTTTTATGTCTTTTTTTTTTTTTTTTTGCAGTACTGGGGTTTGAACTCAGGGCCTCACACTTGCCATTTGCTAGGCAGGTGCTCTACCACTTGAGCCACTGAGCCAGCCCCCATTTTGTTTTTAAAGCATAATGACTGCATATACTCCAGTCTCTATCCGTGGGGGCTACATTCCCAAGAGACCCAATGGATGCCTAAAACTGTGTTACTTTGTTTTCCCCCCATATATACACCACCTATGATAAAGTTTAATTTATTATTTAGGCAGAGTAGGAGACTAACAATAACTAGTAGTAAAACAGAATAAATGTAATAAACTAATAAAAATTATGTGACTGTGGTCTCTCTTTCAAAACATCTTACTGTACTATAGTTTTTGACTGCAGTTGACCTTAGGTAACTGAAACCATGAAAATCAAAACACTGGATAATTGGGAGAACTGTACTTCATTATCCCACTTTCCCTCTGCTTCCTATGAAAGTTTTTTTTTTTTTTTTGGGTGGGTCTGGGGTTTGAACTCATAGCTTTGCACTTGAAAAACAAGCACTCTACCACTTGAGCCACGTCTCCAATCTTTTTTGCTCTGGTTATTTTGGAGAAGGGGTCTCTCCAACTATTTTCCCAGGCTGGCCTTGAAACTTGATCCTCCCAATCTTGACCTCCCAAGTAGCTAGGATTACAGGAATAAGTCATTGCTCCTGGCTCTGCAAGTATTTTTTGATGCCATTAAATATTTAAGCCAGGGGACGGTGGACGGGGACACACATAGAATAATAAAACCCACCACAAACTGTTTGAAAAGTGGGGAAGAGAATACAATGAGAGAAAGGGAATATAACAGAGGGAGTGAACTTGTTCAAAGTATACTGTATGAATCTATGGGATTACCACAATGAAACTTCCTAGAACTGTTAATGCATTCTTTATTTTTTTCCATGACATCAGGCTTGAACTTGAACTTAAGGCCTACAACTTAAGCCACTCCACCAGCCCTTTATTGTGATCGGTTTTTTCAAGATAGTGTTTTGCAAACTATTTGCCCAGGGTTGGCTTCGAACTGTGATCCTCCTGGCCTCCACCTGATGAGAGGAAGATAGAATTACAGGTGTGAGCCTCTGGCGCCCAGCTATTAATGCATTGTAATAAAAAATTTTTTAGAAACTTAAAATTAAGCCAAGTGCAGTGGTGAACATCTGTAATTCAGCACTCATGACACAGAGACAGGAAGATCTTAAGTTCAAGGCCAGCCTTGGCTACACAGTGAGACTAGTCTCAAAAAACAAAAAGAAACAGTAAGAAAAATTTTAGCAAACAGAGATGCAAACGTTAACTTCATGGCAAAATACTTGTATAACTCGCACAAGATCCTGAGTTTGATCACCAGACTCAAGGAAATGGGTGGGAGATGGGGGTGGGGAAAGTAAATTTTTAAAGGAATTTCTATTGTTGGCTGAACATTTCATTCCTATAGAAAATTTGTCAAACATCTCTAAATAGTGAAAAAAAAAAATGTCTTCATTTTGCCAATACTTAGATCAGACTGCAATGGTGAGAAAGAATTAGTGGATGTGGGATGGGGGCATGGCTCACGTGGTAAAGCCCCAGTCTAACAAGTCTGAGGTCCTTAGTTCAAACCCCAGCACAAAAACAAAGAGAAAAGGGCAAAAATACAAACTTCTGTTGGGCATGGTGGTGTGTGCCTATAACCTAAGAGGCAGGAGGATCATGAGTTTGAGGCCAGCCTGAGTCCCATAGTTAGACCTGTCTCTAAAAATAAATTACTAGAAGTGTAAATGTTTTATGCCTTTCATATACTCTACTAAATTGCTCTCCTATAATTTTTCTTGAAATGTAATGAGAATGCCTGCTCATCAAACTCTCATCATTGGGAATACTTGTTTAGTATCTTAGCAATTTGATATATATACTATTTCTTTGACTGTAAGGTCAAAACTTCTATAAATCTTGGTGAGCTATTATCTGTTCCTGTCCTATGTTCATTATCTAATGAGATGTTATGCTTTTCGTATTTGTTTGAATGTTTTATACAGACAGTCCTTGTCATACGATTTCTCAACATGATGATAGCATGAAAGTATAAACCACACTTCTATCCTGTTTTTCACATTCAGTATGGTATTCAATAAATTACATGAGATATTCAACACTTTATCATAAAACAGGCTTTGTGTAAGGTATTTTTGCCCAATGTAAGCCAATGTGTTCTGAATATGTTTAAGGTGGGGTCAGCCCAGAAGGTTAGGTATTTTAAATGCATTTTTGACCTACAACTTTCTCATCTTACAATGGGTTTATTAAGACATTACCCCACCATAAGTCAAGGAACACCTGTTTGCTTAGTAGCTGAAATATATTTTTAAATTTTTATTTATTTTTTTTACTATTGATTTTTTTTTTTTTAATATTATGAGTCTGGTGACCTACCCCAGGGCCAGCTGGTTAGGAGGAAAAACTGTCCAATATTCTATAGCACATTAGCTAAGGATAATTATGATTCAGCAAACTGAATATTTTAATAGGTAGCAGAAAGGATTTTGAATTTGTGTTGTGTTCTCAACACATACACAAAAAAGATGTCTTAGGTAACAGATATGCCAATAATCCTGATTTGATTACTCACTGTATACACAAAATGAAATGTCACACTTTATTTCACAAATTTATACAATTACTATGTGACTATCAGAAATAAAAATATGTATTTTTAGAAACAACCAAAATGACATTAATTTAAAATACTGTCATGTGACTGGGTATGGCTCACTGACAGAGCACAAGCTTAGCTGTGGGTTTTTTGTCTTGTTTTGTTTTGTGGTGGTTAACTAGACTTTAAACTCAGGGTTTCACGCCGGCTAGGCAGGTACTCCACCAATGAAGAAGGTACTCCACCAATGAGCCACGCCTCCAACCCTAGCTTTTTCCCAGGCCAGCTTGAGCAGGGATCCTCCTATTTTATACTTCTTGATATACCTGGGATGACAGGCGCATGCCACCATGCCAGTTTTTTTCCACTGAGATAGGGTCTGACAAACATTTTTTTTGTCCATGCTGGCCTGGCTGCCATCCTCTTGATCTCAGCCCCTCAAGGATTAAATGTGAGCTACCAGCACCCACCTAGCAGTCGCTTCTTAAATTTTTTTTTTTTTTCTTTTTTGGGATAGGTTCTTGCTGGCTTAGAACTCACTCTTTAATTCAAGCCAGACTCCAACTTGAGAACTACTGCCTCCTACTCCACCTCCCAAGTGCAGGGAATATAGATGTATGTGCCACCATACCCAGCTTCCTGAAGTTGGTTTTTAGCAAGCAGTAAGAAAAAACTATTATGAAATCAATAATTTAAACACATGTCTACCTATGTTTGAATATATATATATATATGTATACAATACACATCTAACGTAAAAAATAATACAGGGATGGGGACACAGCTCAATGGTAGAGTGCTTGCTTGGCCCTAGGGTTTGATATTTAGCACTGCAAAAAAGGAGGGGGAAAAAGAAAAAGAAAGAAAAAACTAACATATTAGTTATTAGGTATATAATTATTTCAGCCTACAGATACAATGCACATATGAATTCATGGCTCCCTTACAAGCTGGGCATGGTGGCACATGCCTATTATCTAGCATTCAGAAGGCAGGAGGATTTTGAGTTCAAGACCAGCCTGGTCTACCCAGTGAAAGAATATCCAACCCCTGCTCCAAAAAAAGTCAATGACTTAGAAACTAAAGAAACCACATAAGCCAGACACTGGTGGTTGACACCTATAATCCTAGCTACTTCAGAGGCTGAGATTGAGAGGATTATGGTTCAAGGCCAGCCCAGGCAAATAGTTTATAAGACTTCCATCTCCAAAATAACCAGAGCAAAAAAAATGGACTGGAGATGTGGCCCAAGCAGAGCACCTGCTTGGCAAGCATAAAGCCCAGAGGTTGAAAAAACCCCAGTATCATAAAAACAAAACAAAACACATATAAGAAAATGCAGAATATTTTTACATAATTCACATTTTCTTAAAATTTTACAAATAAAAATTAATCTGTAACTTAAGATGAAGTAAGCCTTAAAACAGAGAAGCCTACCTAAACTTACCTACATTTTAACTATTTTATCTTTCTATATATAACTGTCACTTCATTCTGTCTAGATTAAAGACAACTGTAAAAAATAACTTTGTTCTAAATTTTTTTTGGTGATACTGGGATTTGAACTCAGGGCCTCACGCTTGCCAGGCAGACGCTCTACCACTTGAGCCATTCTGCTAGCCCATGTTCTAAAATTCTTTTGCAAAACAGAATTACTTTGAAAACCATTATTTTCATGCATTACATCTGCTTTAAAATAAGGAATACAATTTTCATTATTCAAAAACAAAAATTATTCAAGCACAATGTTAATAACATTTGAATTTTTTCAAATTCATCAGTGAACATAATGGTATAGCATGCCTCTCAGGAGCTACAATGAAATTTAATTCTAATTCTTTTGTTTTTATTTTGGCACAGTACTAGGCAGCACTAGGGTTTGAACACAGGGTCTAGCTTACTAGGCAGGCACTCTACCACTTGAGCTACTTCACCAGCCCTGTTTTGTGTTGAGTATTTTTGAGATAGGGTCTCACAAACTATTTGCCTGAGCTGGCCTCAAACCTCAATCCTCCTGATCTCTGCCTTCTCAGTAGCTAGGACTACAGGTGTGAGCCAGTGGTGCCCGGCTTGTATAGGACTAGGGATTGAAATCAGGGCATCTCAAACTGCTCTACCACTTCAGGCATTCCCCAAGTCCTTTTGTTTTTCAGATAGGGTCTTGCTAATTTTGCCCTAGCTGGCCTTGAACCTCGATCCTTCTACCTCCTCTTCCCAAGTAGCAGGGATTACAGTTGTGTACTACCATACCCAGCTAATTCTGCCTTTAAGGTTCAGAATCAAATCACTTAACACAGATTCAAAGAGCCTCACCCTGTCCTTTTATGTAGGTCCTCATTTTCAGGATCTTTCAGATTCTTACCTAACTCATATCAAGTCTGCTTTGAACAAAAACTTGCCTTAATTGTAGCATCCTCTGAAGCAGAGACCATAACACTGAATACAGGATGGAAAATGACACGAGTGACTGGACTCCTATGACCACTCAATGCGTATTTTTCTGGTGGACGGGGAATCCATTCTTTTGGGTCTCGTTTCTGACCAAGAGGACCACCTGACGTAAATTCTTCTTTTGCTTCATTTAGCTTTGATTCTAATTCCATAACCTTGAAGAAGAACATAGTTAGGTATAGAGTCTGATAAAAATAACATTTGATATTAAAAAAACAAAACAAAACAAAACAACCTGCCTTTCTTTTATATCAATATATGTAAAATACTTGAAAACTTTTTTGTATTTTGCAAAGCATGTCACTGAGTTAAATGGAAACTGTCTTAACAGACCACCAAAATCTAAGTAATGTGATCAAACTAAAACCTGGAAAAATAAAGTTTTAAGACAGGGTCTTGATATGTAGCCACAACAGCTCAACTGACCTGATTTAATTCAAAGAAAAATTTCCGACTTATATTTAGTGATAGAGTTTTCTATTAGTAATTACAGGAAGAGCAATGAACCTCCTTGCTTCCTCTAAGGTTATTATTCTTACTAAATTCTTTCTAAACCAGTTTATATTATATATGTTAGTAATAATAATATTAAAATAAAAGCTAATATTTACTAAACATCTATTAGGAGATAGGGACTTTTCTAAGAGCTTTATATACGAGAACTTATATTAGAACAATATTAACTTTGCCTATGAAATGTATTAGTGCTTGTTTTCCAGTACCCACTGGTTCCATATATCTTTCTGTTCTATGGACACAAATGAACTCCTTCAGCATCAATTTCTCAAAGTCAGGACTATGCAGATTCAACCCAGTCAGTGTTCCAGACTGCAGGAGTTAGTATGCATAATATGTATCAGCAATTATCTAAGTCAACGTTTTCATAAAGCATAGGAAATGTATTTTTATTTGTCTTTTCATGATTAGATATGATTATTAATGAACAATTCATGCCAATATTTCAGAAAGTTTATGCAAGACCAAAATACAGCTTATTTTAAAGAAAAAAAGTCTTGGTTACCTTCTTTTGTAATCTAATAACAGATGTCCATTTTTTTTCCAAAAGCCCAGCATACTTTTTATCTAATTCTTCATTCTACAAGAAAAAAAATCAAGAATATTTTTAAAATGACAGAACTAGAAAATTTTAAGCCATTGAAACCATCTCTAACCCTAAACAAGTTCAATGCCAAGTAAAATACAATCACAAACAAATTTTGTGAATAGTGGAGTTGGCTTTTAACTACTAAACCCTGAGTAAAATCCACTCATGAACTATACTACAAATAATTCTATGAAGTCAAACATACCATATCTAATTCAGCTTCCTTTTTAAAAACCGAATATGCCTCTTCATAGCCATTTGAACGAAGATAATCTGCTATAGCTCGATTTCTGAAAGAAAACAATTTAAATTAATCCTAAACATATTATTTTGAAGAAATTTTATTTAAAACCTCATAAGCCTAAATCATATACTTCACAAAAAATAGACACCAACCCAAATATATAGCACTTGAACAACTTTTTTCTTTTCTCTGTGTGTGTGTGTGTGTGTGTGTGTGTATCTCAGATAGGGATTCCACGCAAGGCCTGTGCAAGCTAGACAAGTGCTCCACAACTGAGCTATTGCCCTAGCCCCTTAAGTCTTCACACATTTCTAAGTTACTGCTTACCTCACAAGTTGTGAGCACTCTTCAGATCAAGATATGGCTTATATAACTAGGTATCAATCTGTGACAGTAACCATCAATTTTGATAATGTTTACATTTACCCTTTTCTTACTACTTGGTATACATGCTCAAGGGCTGGGAACTAGAATTTAGTGTTTGCAGTAAACTGTTTTAATAAAACTGAAGTACTTTTATATTAGAAAAAAACTTAGCCAATTAGAATGGGCTAAAAAAAGAAAAAACACAAACTAGGGCTAGAAATAAAGCTTAGTGATAGAGCAGTACTGAAGTTTGAACTTAGGGCCTCATGGATGCTAGGCAGGTAACAGTTCTTTTTTTTTTTTTGGCTTAGTTATTTTACAGGTAGGGATGTATTTCTGCCTGGGCTGGCCTCAAACCTCAATCCTCCTCCAGAGCACACAGGATTACAGATGTCAGCCATTGTGTCCCAATTTCCTTTGCAATATTTTTAATTCATTTAAATAACCTACAAGTTAGTATCACACAAGGCTAAGTAGATTTTTAAAGATGTAAATTTATAATCAATGTCCTTTACAACACTGATCCATAATATTCCATCCCTGAGTCAACTACTTACTAGTGTTTTATGTGTTTTTCCAGAAATAATTTACCTAAAAACACACAACCTTGGACTGGAGGTGTGGCTCAAGCAGTAGAGTACCTGCTTTGCAAGTGCAAAAACCTGAGTTCAAACTCCAGACCCACCAAAAACAACAACAAACTCTAGTTTTCTAGACAATCATTTTTGCCTTTAAACCAAACTGCAGGTCAAATATGCCACATAAAACCACTGAATTTTATCTATAACTCCTTATCAGCAGACATAAATCTGTTTTAATGAAATTATATTAAATTCCATTATATAGACACTTTTATTACTATAAACTATGCCACTGTCCACTTAATGCTTAGGAAATAAAAGCTCTCCAGTAGTATAGTACAATTACTCAGGTTAAGTTTTAATTCAAGGGTACGTTAAAAACAAACAAACAAACAAACAAAAAAACTAAAGGAATGGAGAAAGATTAATAGGGAATTACAGCAAACACTTTATGTTCCAGGTTAATTACTGGCATGTCAAATATCAAAGTATAATTGTAAGGTTAGCACATGGCATTCAGACATAGGGGATGAGGTGCTAAGTTTTTATTATTATGAGGAAGGAAGACTTATTATTATAGTGAGTCTATGTTTGTGTGGGGCTCATATCACACCCTGTATCTTCTGGTTCTAATGGCTAAGGTAATCTTTTAAGAACTTTTTCTTTGTCTGCTTTTCAGTTTTTGAGTGAGGGTCTGCCTAACATTGCCTAGGCTGCTCTCTAACTCCCAATCCTCCTATCTGAGCCTCCTCACTAGCATGTGCCTAGTAGTACACTTCTGTAATCCAAGCAATGGGAAGATGGATGCAGGAGGATTTTGAGTTCAAGACCAGTTGAAGCTTCATAGTAAGTCTGAAGTCAGCCTGAGATACTTGGGAAGACCCTGTCTGAAACAAACAAACAAAAATTCTTTATACAGAGGGAAATCTATTTTTTAACTTCCATTAAGTAGTAGCTCTACTTGGCCTTCCAAGTCAATACAAAATTAGAAGGCAGAAGCTCCCTCATGATCTTCCATCAAATATTTTGCATTGTAACAGCTTGTATTCCATGTGTTGAGCTGTTTGGTTTTTTTGGCCATATGGGGTTTAAACTGAGGGTTTTTTTGGCCATATGGGGTTTAAACTGAGGCTTGCTAGTCAGGCATCCTACTGCTAGAGCCACTCCTCTAGCCTTGAGAAAGCTTAAATTCCAAACTTTCAACAAAAATAAATTTCTTTTGGTTAGAATATTCCAAAATAATGATGTGAGTAAAGAACTTAATAAAAACCACTTATTCCTTAGCTTAACTTTCTTCTTTCAATCTAAAAAAACAATCACCAAGCAAAAAGAGGGGAATGTCAAGGGCAAACAGATCATATATAGTACTTGTAAACACTTAATGTTCCTACTTGTTCCACTTTTGGATTTCCTTTTTTTCTCCTTTTTTTTTTCTTGCTGGCACTGGAGTTTGAACTCAGGGCCTTGCACTTGCTAGGCAGGCACTCTTACTGCTTGAACCACTGCCCTAGCCTTTGTTCCACTTTTATCTCAGGGTTAAGTCCCAACACCTGAAACTTTGCTGGAACACAGCACAAAGACTCCAACACTAAAAGCTCAGCTAACAGACAATATGGATGTCCAACACATGCGGAGTTTAGGATAACTATGACATTGGCTTTTTCTGGCAAGGAAACGATAAGTGGTGATACTTTCCCATATAAGAATATTTAAAGGAAGCTGGAAATGACCCAAACATTGTATGCACATATGCATAAAACAAAAATTAAAATAAATAAATAAATAATAAAAGAAAGGAAGCTGGGGGCATAGCTCAAGTGGTAGAGTACTTGCCTAGCAAGTGCAAGCCACTGAGTTCAATTACCAGTACTGCCAAAACCAAACCAAACCAACAAACAAAATCCTGAAGAGTATTAGAAGGAGAAAAATGGAAAATGACAACTCCTTTTGCCTTATTAAAACAAATCAGCAATTACTAGGCATGGTGGCACATGCTTATAGTCCAAGTAGCCTGGTCTACATAGTAAGACCCTTCTATTAAAAAAAAAAAAAAAAAAAAAAAAAAGCTGAGCACCAGTGGTTTACACCTGTAATCCTAGCTACTCAGGAGGACCTTGGTTCTAAGTCAGCCTGGGCAAATAGTTCGGGAGACCCTATCTTGAAAAAACCCAACACACATACATATAACAAAGGGCTGGTGGAGTGGCTCAAGTGGTAGAGCACCTGCCTAGCAAGTGTGAGGCCAGAGGCCCTGTGTTCAAACCCCATCACCACCCCCAAAAAAAAAAAAAAAGCTGGGTACACCAGATCACCCCCCTTTTATCTTCAGCTACTTAGGAGGCAGAGACAGAACAACTGTGGTTCAGGGACTATAGATATGGCTCAAGTGGTATAGTACTTGAGACCCTAAGTTTAAAGCCCCTGCATAAATAAATAAATAAGCAGGTAAGTAAATAAATAAATACCAACATTTTGAGATATTGAGATTGCCCCTACAGGGTAAGCAACTTAAATCTGAAAATCTAAAATGTTCCAGAATCTAAAACTTTTCTTTGAGAGTGCTGGGATCAAACTCAGGGCCTCCAATTTACCACTGAGCTATACAACTAGGGCTCATTTTTTAAAAATAAATTTTAGGCATGGCACTGGTGGCTCATGCCTTTAATCCTAGCTACTGGGTTGGCAAGATGAGGAGGATGGCGGTTCTAGGCCAGTCAGGGCAAATAGCTCACAGGACCCTATCTCAAAAACACCCAACACATTGCTGGGCACAGTGGCTTACACCTGTAAACTAGCTACTCAAGAGGCAGAGATCAGGAGGATCACAATTTGAAGCCAGCCAGGGAGAACAGTTCATGAGGCCCTATCTGTGGTTCAAGGTGTAGGCCCTGAGTTCAAACCTTACCACTGTCATAAAAAATAATAAAAAAATTTTTTTAAAGGGCTGGTGGAGAGGCTCAAGCGGTAGAGCATCTGCCTAGCAAGTGTGAGGTCCTGTTCCACCAAACCCCAGTACCACCAAAATAAGAAGTAAATTTTAATACATTGTAAATAACTTTCTTTACCAATATTCATTTACATCATACAAGTTCATGCTCAAACAATATTACATTATATAAATGTACCAAATTTCATTTAAGCAATTATCTATTGCTACTCTCAGGATGTTTCTTATTCATCATTTTAAAGTGTTTCAGACAGGGCACAGTGGTTCATGCCCGTAATTTCAGCTCCCTGGGAGGTACAGATTGGGAAGATCAAGGTTTAAGGCCAACCCAGGCAAAAATTTAGCAAGACCCCCCATCTCAACGATTAAGCAGGATGCAGTGTGCAGAAGGCATACACAGGAGCATCACAGTTCAGGCCAACCTGGGCAAAACCACAAGATCCTATCTGAAAAATAAGCAAAAATGGTTGGGGGAGCCAGGCACTGGTGGCTCATGCCTGTAATCCTAGCTACTCATGAGGGACAGATCAGGAGGATGAGAGTTCAAAGCCAGCCCCAGGCAAATAGTTTGTAAGACCCTATCTTGAAAAAAACCACCCCCCCAAGAAAGGCTGGCAGTGTCTCAAGCAGGTAATAGCATCTGCCTCACAAGCATAAGGCCAAGTTCAAACTCCAGTGCACAAGGAAAAAAAAAAGGTTGGCGGGCATGGCTCAGTTGGTAGAGCACCTGCCTAGTGAGCATAGTAAGCATAAGGCCCTGAGCTCAAAATACCAGTACATACACATATACTCACATATACACAAAAGAAAAGATATTCTGAAATGTGCAACAGCTCAAAAAAGAAAAAAAAAAACCTGTTTATCCTCTTGTATTTTTTTTCTTAGAGGGCCTTTGTTAAAGTGTCTATCCAATAAAGGACAGAAGATTCTAGAAATGAGGTCTCCTGGTAGAAAGAATGGGATGGACAGGATATCTAATAGGTGCAAGCTTCTGGGAGTAAAACAAAGTAAATTTAAACTCCAGTACTGCCAAAAACATACTGCAAATAAATAGGCACATAGACAAGTCTAGTATCTTTACATCTGAATCAAAAGATACACAGATTTTCAAGCTACTTTTAGTATGAAAACTAAAAGTATGAAACTGCTTCC